ACAGTAACACTGTTTATATTACAGTCTGTACAGTAACACACTGTTAATATTACAGTCTATCTGTACAGTAACACACTGTTTCTATTAGTTTGTCTGTACAGTAACACATTGTTTATATTACAGTCTATCTGTACAGTAATACTGTTTATATTACAGTCTGTCAGTACAGTAACACACTGTTTATATTACAGTCTGTCTGTACAGTAACACTGTTTATATTACAGTCTGTACCGTAACACCATGTTTATATTACAGTCTGTCTGTACAGTAACACACTGTTTATATTAGTCTGTCTGTGCAGTAACACATTGTTTATATTACAGTCTGTCTGTACAGTAACACACTGTTTATATTACAGTCTGTCTGTAAAGTAACACAATGTTTATATTACAGTTTGTCTGTACAGTAACACACTGTTTATATTACAGTCACTCTGTACAGTAACACACTGTTTATATTACAGTCTATATGTACAGTAACACACTGTTCATATTAGTCTGTCTGTACAGTAATACATTGTTTATATTACAGTCTGTCTGTATAGTAACACAATGTTTATATTACAGTCTATCTGTACAGTAACACTGTTTATATTACAGTCTGTCAGTACAGTAACACTGCTTATATTACAGTCTGTACAGTAACACACTGTTTATATTACAGTCTGTCTGTACAGTAACACACTATATTAGTCTGTCTGTACAGTAACACATTGTTTATATTATAGTCTGTACAGTAACACTGTTAATATTACAGTATGTCTGTACAGTAACACTGTTTATATTACAGTCTGTACAGTAACACACTGCTTATATTACAGTCTATCTGTAGAGTAACACTGTTTACATTACAGTCTGTCAGTACAGTAACACACTGTTTATATTACAGTCACTCGGTACAGTAACACACTGTTTATATTACAGTCTATCTGTACAGTAACACACTGTTTATATTAGTCTGTCTGTACAGTAACACATTGTTTATATTACAGTCTATCTGTACAGTAACACTGTTTATATTACAGTCTGTCAGTACAGTAACACACTGTTTATATTACAGTCACTCGGTACAGTAACACACTGTTTTTATTACAGTCTGCACAGTAACACACTGTTTATATTACAGTCTATCTGTACAGTAACACACTGTTTATATTACAGCATGTCTGTACAGTAATGCATTGTTTATATTACAGTCTCCCTGTATAGTAACACAATGTTTATATTACAGTCTATCTGTACAGTAACACTGTTTATATTACAGTCTGTCAGTACAGTAACACTGTTTATATTACAGTCTGTACAGTAACACACTGTTTATATTACAGTCTGTCAGTACAGTAACACTGTTTATATTACAGTCTGTACAGTAACACACTGTTTATATTACAGTCTGTCAGTACAGTAACACTGTTTATATTACAGTCTGTACAGTAACACACTGTTTATATTACAGTCTATCTGTACAGTAACACACTGTTTATATTAGTCTATCTGTACAGTAACACATTGTTTATATTAGTCTGTCTGTACAGTAACACATTGTTTATATTACAGTCTATCTATACAGTAACCCTGTTTATATTACAGTCTGTCTGTACAGTAACACAATGTTTATATTCCAGTTTGTCTGTACTGTAACACACTGTTTATATTACAGTCACTCGGTACAGTAACACACTGTTTATATTACAGTCTGCACAGTAACATACTGTTTACATTACAGTCACTCTGTACAGTAACACACTGTTGATATTAGTCTGTCTGTACAGTAATACATTGTTTATAGTACAGTCTGCCTGTATAGTAACACAATGTTTATATTACAGTCTATCTGTACAGTAACACTGTTTATATTACAGTCTGTCAGTACAGTAACACTGTTTATATTACAGTCTGTACAGTAACACACTGTTTATATTACAGTCTGTCAGTACAGTAACACTGTTTATATTACAGTCTGTACAGTAACACACTGTTTATTACAGTCTATATGTACAGTAACACACTGTTTATATTAGTCTATCTGTACAGTAACACATTGTTTATATTAGTCTGTCTGTACAGTAACACATTGTTTATATTACAGTCTATCTATACAGTAACCCTGTTTATATTACAGTCTGTCTGTACAGTAACACAATGTTTATATTACAGTTTGTCTGTACTGTAACACACTGTTTATATTACAGTCACTCGGTACAGTAACACACTGTTTATATTACAGTCTATCTGTACAGTAACACACTGTTTATATTAGTCTGTCTGTACAGTAACACATTGTTTATATTACAGTCTATCTGTAGAGTAACACTGTTTATATTACAGTCTGTCAGTACAGTAACACACTGTTTATATTACAGTCACTCGGTACAGTAACACACTGTTTTTATTACAGTCTGCACAGTAACACACTGTTTATATTACAGTCTATCTGTACAGTAACACACTGTTTATATTACAGCATGTCTGTACAGTAATGCATTGTTTATATTACAGTCTGTCTGTATAGTAACACAATGTTTATATTACAGTCTATCTGTACAGTAACACTGTTTATATTACAGTCTGTCAGTACAGTAACACATTGTTTATATTACAGTCTGTCTGTACAGTAACACTGTTTATATTACAGTCTGTCAGTACAGTAACACACTGTTTATATTACAGTCACTCGGTACAGTAACACACTGTTTATATTACAGTCTGCACAGTAACACACTGTTGATATTAGTCTGTCTGTACAGTAATACATTGTTTATAGTACAGTCTGCCTGTATAGTAACACAATGTTTATATTACAGTCTATCTGTACAGTAACACTGTTTATATTACAGTCTGTCAGTACAGTAACACTGTTTATATTACAGTCTGTACAGTAACACACTGTTTATATTACAGTCTGTCAGTACAGTAACACTGTTTATATTAGTCTGTACAGTAACACACTGTTTATATTACAGTCTATCTGTACAGTAACACACTGTTTATATTAGTCTATCTGTACAGTAACACATTGTTTATATTAGTCTGTCTGTACAGTAACACATTGTTTATATTACAGTCTATCTATACAGTAACCCTGTTTATATTACAGTCTGTCTGTACAGTAACACAATGTTTATATTCCAGTTTGTCTGTACTGTAACACACTGTTTATATTACAGTCACTCGGTACAGTAATACACTGTTTATATTACAGTCTGCACAGTAACATACTGTTTACATTACAGACACTCTGTACAGTAACACACTGTTGATATTAGTCTGTCTGTACAGTAATACATTGTTTATAGTACAGTCTGCCTGTATAGTAACACAATGTTTATATTACAGTCTATCTGTACAGTAACACTGTTTATATTACAGTCTGTCAGTACAGTAACACTGTTTATATTAGTCTGTACAGTAACACACTGTTTATATTACAGTCTGTACAGTAACACACTGTTTATATTACAGTCTGTCAGTACAGTAACACTGTTTATATTACAGTCTGTACAGTAACACACTGTTTATATTACAGTCTGTCAGTACAGTAACACTGTTTATATTACAGTCTGTACAGTAACACACTGTTTATATTACAGTCTATCTGTACAGTAACACACTGTTTATATTAGTCTATCTGTACAGTAACACATTGTTTATATTAGTCTGTCTGTACAGTAACACATTGTTTATATTACAGTCTATCTATACAGTAACCCTGTTTATATTACAGTGTGTCTGTACAGTAACACAATGTTTATATTCCAGTTTGTCTGTACTGTAACACACTGTTTATATTACAGTCACTCGGTACAGTAACACACTGTTTATATTACAGTCTGCACAGTAACATACTGTTTACATTACAGACACTCTGTACAGTAACACACTGTTGATATTAGTCTGTCTGTACAGTAATACATTGTTTATAGTACAGTCTGCCTGTATAGTAACACAATGTTTATATTACAGTCTATCTATACAGTAACCCTGTTTATATTACAGTCTGTCTGTACAGTAACACAATGTTTATATTCCAGTTTGTCTGTACTGTAACACACTGTTTATATTACAGTCACTCGGTACAGTAACACACTGTTTATATTACAGTCTGCACAGTAACATACTGTTTACATTACAGTCACTCTGTACAGTAACACACTGTTTATATTAGTCTGGTTGTACAGTAATGCATTGTTTATATTACAGACTGTCTGTATAGTAACACATTGTTTATATTACAGTATGTCTGTACAGTAACACTGTTTATATTACAGTCTGTCAGTACAGTAACACTGTTTATATTACAGTCTGTACAGTAACACACTGTTTATATTACAGTCTGTACAGTAACACACTGTTTATATTAGTCTATCTGTACAGTAACACACTGTTTATATTAGTCTGTCAGTACAGTAACACACTGTTTATATTACAGTCACTCGGTACAGTAACACACTATTACAGTCTGCACAGTAACACACTGTTTATAATACAGTCACTCGGTACAGTAACACACTGTTTATATTAGTCTGTCTGTACAGTAATACATTGTTTATATTACAGTCTGTCTGTATAGTAACACAATGTTTATATTACAGTCTATCTGTACAGTAACACTGTTTATATTATAGTCTGTCTGTACAGTAACACTGTTTATATTACAGTCTGTCTGTACAGTAACACACTGTTTATGTTACAGTTTGCATAGTAGCACACTGTTTATATCACAGTCTCCCTTTGCAGTACTGTATCTATATATTGTGTGCACATTTGAGTTTCTCAGTATATGTTAATTTGGAAATAATAACTTGCTGTGTAGCAAAGCACACTATAACTATGTAAAAACCACTTGATCCACACAGTATCCTGCAGTATGCATGTGTTCACTATAGTGAGCTCGCTGTCCCTCGCTCTTGTGCCTGCAGTAAAGTTCCCCCACTGACAATTTGAGAAGTAAAAATAACCTCCCTGTTAAGCGATAAGGTTGGGAGTTTGCCTTTTGTGTCGGTCTGAGCTGAGGGGCCAATGGAGCTGTATGGATCTGACACATGGGAATTTCTGACATATCTGCCCTCTGCTGTGACCTTCACATACACAATAAAAAGAGGCTTCTGTGTATCTCACCCACAGCCTCTCGGTCCTGTAGCCAAGGTTGGTAGCCGTGTGCATGTCTCTATGTAAATTACTAACATATCCCTATAACCTGCTGTCACTGTATCTCACAGACCATAGATAAATATATTATATGATGTTTTAATTCAGTGTTAAACCCAGACGTTTGTCCATATTGAGGCTTCCAACTTAACGCATAATGTCATATATATATTTATATATTATAGTGTGATTATTGTATAGGATTAGAGAACTGTTTCTATATGGTATTAACTTTATGGCAATATGTTTCACTTACTGTCTGCCTTGCAAATATGCCACTCTATGTGAATCATATTTCTGAATTTAACAACTTCTTCTGTGCTGTTTGTTTGGCTCCCTATGACTTGCACCATACCATCGACTATTGCACAACGGGTCTATACTATATCCTTAACCTTACTGCATAATGGGTGTTTCCTATAGCCCTACAACTGCGGTACAGTGGGTCTACCCTTACGGCGCAATGGGCCAATCCAAGGTCCATAACCCTACATGTACAATAGGTAACCCCTTTAACCTTTACCCTCTTGAAGAATGGATCTAGGCAGTAATCCTAACCCTACTAACCTAAGGTTTTACCTTACAATCTTGCATGTATTACACAATGGATCTATTCTATACCCTCCACCCTTTTATACAATGGATCTTCTCTATAACCCAACCCTACTGAGCAATGTGTCTTCCGTATAACCCTAGCCCCTTTGCACAATGGGTTTACCATGTAAGAGCCCCTATTTGACCACTTATAGAGTCATAAGTTCTGTCGCCATAATTCTACCTATTCATCCTCTCCAATTTTTCTTGTTTTTATAATATAACTTCTTCTACTGCGTAAAAATAATAATATAGTATGTACCAGATTCTACTGATCCATATAACCTGTTCTTTTGCACCCTATCAATCTTAATGGTATTCATAATGTTTCATGACCAATTTTTATGTCAGCATTTCTGCAAAGGATCAGAATTCTGCGATATTCAAATAGTTGTGATTGTTGTTAAAATGCAGTTTTTTTGGCTTAAATATATGAGGTTTTGGTACAGAGATGCTTGGGATATGTGTTGAACTTAAGTAACTTTGCCGTGAAAATACATGTATCGGAACCAATGTAAAATTTGTTTAGTTGCTACGGAATTCTGCTAATATGAAACCTGTTGGGTGATATGTCATATAATGGTAGCATTTTAGTGCAAATTTGTGTAGATTGCTCCAAATACAGTTGCTTAATTAGCCTTTCTGTTTTTACTGTGTGTATTACATAGAGATTATTAAAATGTTTTATATAAGTAAATGATTCAAAGCCCGTAGAGTGTGCAAGGTGTGACCATGCTCTACTATTTTAAAAAGTTTTTTTGTTTCAACAAATCATATGTTGAAATGGTATATAAAGGAGTCAATGGATACTGGTGTGTGTGGATAATATTCTCCCTACAAACCACGAACCACAAATCTAACTGTTATTTTAAAACTCTTAGTCTGCAATCATGGCAATCCAATGATATTTTTAAGTCGAGCAAAGACAAAATGACAAGCCCTACACACGTATGTTGCAGGATGTCCGAGCTGGCCTCTGTGTACCGCAAAATGTCCATGCCATACTGTCCTCTGCTTTCTGGGCTATTATTACACAGCAGTGGACGGGCAGTCGGGCACTGACTGGCACAATACCAGCATACAGCTTGTGTACAGCCCTGACTTTACTTATTATTTTAATGAATATTACAAAATACATGCTGTTGTATAGAAATAAAAAAAAAATAAACACCATTTTTCAGTATTGTAAATCGTATGCCAAATACCAGGATAGGCTGGTAGATTTGGACATTCCATTACATTGACCCATACACACTAGTGTAAAATATATATTAGATTTGGGCAAACCGTTGATCAAACTATAACATGCATTTGTTACGCATATTTTATAGTTCAGCGGAATGTATATATTCTTACACAAGTTTCTTAGAGAAAATGTTACTAATGCCCAATCTGTTAGCCTTGTCTATTCATAACACATTTGAGTTTCACAAATAGGAATGTAATTGTAATATTATGCAAATTTTTACAAATTAAAATAACATGTTTTATTGTGTTTAATCTAGCTGGGCAAGTATTTTAGACATTTTTTCTCCAATGATCATATACTGTGAAATGGAATATATAATATTATGAACTCACTAAGCATCAATTTCAAAGCTCACAAAATTTAATAGTTTCTTTAAAAACTCTTGACTTAGGCAAAAAAGAATTTAGTTACAGTTTATAATCATACATTGTAAAAGTCTGCCAAAACGCCAATGTACCCCATTTTTTGTCAGGTCTTATTCCAAACCCTAATACCTGCTCTTATAAGATTAACCCACTTACTTGGAAATCCCTTCCTCCTGGGACTTTATATATATATATAATTACACTTAACTTCCAAGAACCATACCGTATGCAGGACTACAGCAGGTGCAAAGCAAGAGGCCTATTCCTCGCTGCACATTTTAAAAAGTTAGTTTATTTTGGTGTGTGAGTGGAAAGAGAGAAAGAGTGTGTGTGTGTATGTATGTATGTATGTATGTATATATACATAAAAATAATACTTGGTGCTTAATCTATTCAAAAATTGTACTTAAAAAACAAACATAACTTTTAATATGCTAATGTATTTATTAAAACTCATCAAGGACCTTGGAGTGCTATGTTTTTTGTTTAAGTAGGTGTGTATATATATATATGTATATATATATATCTGTTGCTATGCCATATTGGGTCAAGAAATAATTTTTGAATTTTTTTATATATTGTATGTATTATACTTTAGTCAATATTGTTTCGCTGGGAGCGGTAGTTGAGATCGTGAAGCCCCGATTTTATACTTAAGTTGTTCCTATGTTTGGTGGGGGTGAATAAGGAGTTTAAAAAACTCAGAGGATAATGGGATAAAGGGTTGGCTTGCTGCTGGTAGATGCATCATTTCATTCTTGGTTATTTTGTCAATTCTATATCTTTTGTTTCACGTATATGTGTGTTATAACATGAATGAGTATAGGAACACTGGTGGTATATTTTTATAGTTCCGGTGAAGTATGGATTCTATGTGAAGACATTTACGAGACCTTGCAATGTCTCTGTTGTTTCGTTAATGGGTGTAATTAGGGTGGATGCCTTGTCCATCTGTGCAGAGAGGACCAGGTCAGGGCAAGAGGTCGTACTGAATATAAACAATGTGTTTAACCTTGGTTTGTTTTCCAAGAATCAGTGTAATATAATAATCAGGACTGCGTTGAAGAATGGAAGTCAGAACAAGCACATTTTGTATGCCTTAGTGGTCATTGTCGTGAATTTGGCTTTTGAATGTAATAATTTTAGGAAAGCGTGAAAGACAACTGTGTCCACAGAATGTATTCTATTATATTAGCAGTAATACATTTTTTAGACCATGTTTATTTATCAAAACGCTAAAAATTTCTGGTATCATTAAACTTGCAGTTAAATGGTCTGGAATTATTTTTCATAATTCAGACATTCTCTGATCATGTGCTACAGAGTTTGTCCTACAAAAAAAGAATAAACAAACTATTAATCTCTTATTTTGTTCACCTTCTCTTTTCAAGGGGTCAGGAGCATTCCAAGGGAGTCGTATCTTTGCTGCTGGCTTGGTTTCCATTGACCAACCACCATGTCTTCTCTCCAGGATATGACAGAGTTTGGAGAGGCAGCTGACTACCTGCGAAAGAGTGCCAATGAGCTTATGAAGCTGCACACTATACCGTTTGATGGTAGGTTTGAAGGTTGTGTCCTCTATATACTTCGAAGAGGGAGGTTTCATTTAAATGCAAGAACACAGTCCCTTACATTCCACAATATCTATTTCTACATATACTGTAATGTAAATATGATCTAAAACTTTTTCACCAGCTTTTTACATTTTGTAAGTAACATTATTTGACTCCTGCTTTAACAAGATATTACACCATGGGGTTAATTGTCACAATATTATGTTAGTAAGTTTGTCACTTTGATGGCAGGTCTGTACTGGGATGCACAATGTAGGCAACGCTCATCAACCTCAGCATGAGCATTCGCTTACCAACACCTGCAGCACTGTCTTCAAATGATAGAGGTGAGAGAGGCTAGGAACAAGAAAAGAATCCAGGGGTAGGCAACCTTCAGCACTCAATATGTTGTGGACCACATCTTCAAGGTCGATATAGTCCACAACATCTGGAGTACTGAAGTTCGCCTACCCCTGCGCTATACCCTATATCTGATCACTATTCGTCTTGAGCATCTAAGTAAAATGCTGAAGGTCACCCACCCAAGGCATATTGTAGCGGCCAGTGTGAATTCAATATTCACATATCAATCAGATGAAAAACAGGATATAGCAGAGACGACACAGGAACCAGCAACATGGCAGAATTGGGATAGAACAGAATCTTATAAACATAAAGATTAAATCAATGAGCACTAAATCCTGAGCCAAAGGTATAAAGAATAAATGCCATTGAATTGATGTTGGGATGTGCGTAAAGAGGAATGCTTTGCATACATAGGCAAACCAGATGTAGAACACAAAGTGCATGTACAATATCTACAAGGAGTTTCCTAAAATTGCCAGGCGACATGTACCTTTCTACAGTCACCACCAGATCAGTGATTAGTACCATTAGGCACTAATGGACCTTAATGAATACCCGGGGTGATAATGTTGAAGGCTGTTACTCAGGATCACATTTCCTGTTCTTAGACAGTCCAGCCATTGATAAGCAGACCTCTAAGCATAGCAATTAAAATACTTGGCAGCACAAATAACGGATATAACATAGATATAATGAGTTTTGATGACTGGGGATTTAAAGTCTGGAACATGCCTGAAATCCATTTCATACATTGCATTTTCTGAAAATAAAGAATAAAAGAGTTCTGCAACTATACTGCAACTCTCAACACATTGTCCCAAATTGTTAATACATAAGCAGTGCAGAATATGGAATAATAAAAATCCAATCCCACAGTGTTTAGTGGATTCATTCTCGATAAGTAGTAGCCAAAATCAGAGAGATTGTAGCCACATTAAAGATAATCAAATTTTCATTAGACAATATAATTATTCACCAAGACAAAAGAATAATACATGCTTTGTATTCTACTTTACAACATGTGTATGGTGCAGGTGAAGGATCTGAATTCTGCAGTTAAAATATAATAAACTCTCAGAATAAGGGAGACACAATTTGTTGGGCTACTGGTGTAAAGTAAGTGGGGCTTTTATAAAACACAGTACAAACTGGTCCATAAGTGAAAGAGATATATACAAAACCAGGCATGAAGTCTTCCAAGGCACTCCTCTGTTACCATCTAGTATCCTCCCAAGAAAGTATTCCAGACCTCTGCCTAATTAGCCTTTAAGGAATTTTGCCCCTTGTGGAGGTGTTCCATTTTTTAACTCTGCCATTTGACAAATACTGAAAACATAATGATCGATTTTGGGAATACCATTAGTGGGATTCCATAAAGGATCCTGATATTGTTCTGAAACTTGCTGAAACTTGCAACAGGTGGATTTTTTTTTTTGTAGCAAATACAGTATATTTAGTAAATAGCATCATGGTGTAACTGGTATCACACTGGTCACTTTTTTGTTGATAATAGAAAACTTTGAGCTAATACCAAGCCTTTAGTTACGTGCATGGCAATGAGGTCTAAGGTCCAGAGTAAAATGGGAACATTTCGAGATACAAGTAGTCCATAACGCACTTCACCAGGAGTAGACAAACTTTGGCACTCCAGACATTGCGGACTACATCTCCCATAATGCTGTTACAGCCATAATGCTGGCAAAGCTTCGAGAGAGATGGAGACCACAACGTTTAGAGTGTCAAAGGTCGCCTACCCCCTGCACTATACCTTATATATGATCATTATTAGTCTTGAGCCTCTAAGAAAACCGTGAATAAAAGGTGAACATAGTATTTGATTTTTTTATAATGGGATTTTTAATTCTGCACCATTTAAGGTAAGAAAAAGGGCTGGATTCCAGATGACAAAGAAGCCTACATTGAAGTGGAAATAAAGGATTCCGCTGGTGGCAACGTCACAGTGGAAACAAAAGATAAAAGGGTAATTATAATTATTTTTATTTTTTTTAATTCTTTAATGCTTGGGTTGCTATATGGTCTTTTGATATGCATTCAGGAAAAAAGGGAGCAGTATTCCTTACAAGTTTTCGTTCTGTAAAATGCGTGTTGACTTGTCCCATGTTTAAGACCTTTCCCTTTAATTAAGTAAATAAAGCACTTCTTAATAAGAAGTTTGGCACTAAATGTATTATGAGAATTGTTTCGGAATTGTTTTTTTAAAAATTATATTGTAATCTCTGCTGTGTGCATCACCTTGGGAATATAGTAAGCTTGTACGTTAGGATACATACAGGGCTATTAACTAAAGTGTTAAAAGCAGGGAATTAATTCATAGTGTCCTCTCAAAAAAATTAAAATTTTGGCCAAATTAGCCGAATTGGAAAGATTCTTCACGTTAACTATGTTTTTAGTTCTACTAATATGTCTTAAAATTTAAAAAAAAATCACCTTGAATTAATTTGGAATTCCAGAAAATCCAAAATTGAGTGAATAACACTGATAATATATTGTAGATTGTACTTCAATAAGCATAATTATTTTATTTTATGTTTCTAATGTTTTTGGTTTTCTAAGGTTTGACACGAAAAGAAAACTGTAACTCCTGTCCGTATGTGTGCAGCCTTTGTCTGTGCCACATTTACAATGCAATAAATGTCTTTTTTTATCTGAAGAATCACATGCTATGAAATCATTCAAGTATTCCTATTACATCTTGTCTATAACATCTCTTCGAAGGTTACAGTTGTATTGACCACATAGTCTTTCTGTCTGTTTCTTTAGTGTTTGTGGAAAACACTTATGAATGTCAAGTATATATCCCCTTATTGCACAAGGATACAATTCTATGATCATGGTGTAGGTGATTCTTCAGTAAAACCACTGTAAACCAGCCTCGAGACCATTCTGAGATAATACACTTGTCACGTAAAATTATGGGGGAAAAATGTACAACTCACACACTACAAAAGGAATGTGTTATAAACAGAATGCCTTGTCTGTCAGGATCCTAAATGCAGCCGGCAGCTGCTTAATGCCCTTCTGAAGCCTACTATAAATGACAGTGTTTTTCCTTTAGTGCATTCCTGCTATGCAAAGTGTATCAGGCCCATAAACCCTCATCAGTTGTTTTCTAATGGTGTATAACTCCAATCTATTTATTTCTTTACAAACTCCATCGCCTGTGAGTTTTGCTCTGAGCTCTAAGGATACCAATTCACAAGCTGTCTTGTGAAACTTTAAATGTGTTGCAGAGTTTCTAAGATGGGCGAGCACCTGCTGAAAAAAATATAGTTTGCTTTCTAATTAACTTTGTCCTGTATTAAGAAATTAGTTCCATGTACATTTTTGTAATGTGTATGGCATCCCCAGAAAAAAAACATGTTTAAAAAAAAAAGGAACAGAAGTATTTCTACCTAATTGTCGCTAAGTCCCATTAAAACACTATATAGGGGTGTCGAGAACTTGGGTAGAACATTGAGGCATGCCATCAGCTAATGCGTTCGTATGTCAGATTTTTCTTATTTTATCAGGTGTAAGGATGGTATCAGAGTAATTAGAGCACATGGCAAGCTAAAGCCAACTAAATAGGTCATGGGAGAAGTTAACGAGGAAATGGTGAGGTTGATTAGGAAATGTCGGCCATTACACAGCATGGATTAGGCTTGAGAAGAGTGAGTGAGCACTAAGAGTATATATTGGGTATGAGATATCGAAGTGAGTAGTTGCCTGCCCAGGTACTTTACATACAAGACTTGAGAGCCTTCAGCTTTGGGATGTACTTCAGAATATGTGGCTATTCCTTGATAAATATACCCTTTCTAACGAGATAATTGCTTCACACACCCAATTAGGGCATCTTGCACACCCTATTTTGAAGACTTCTTGTCTTGGTCAGAACACAATGTTTTTAGGTTCCACTAGCTACACCTATTATCCATTCCCACTGAATCTACAGCTTCTGTAAACTTAATCACCTCTGTATGTCTTGGAAGTTTATCTATCTGCCTTTCCAGGTCTTTTTAAATTATTCTCTTTCCATCAATGTTAACGTCTCTGTTTTAGTGTTAGTCAACATGCCTCCCACCAACAAACCAACTTACGATTGGAGTTACAGTCTATACGGATACTGGATATACTTTTTATTCCATGTCCACCAGTGACTGTGAAATTAATTTCTCATCAGGTTCTAACTGTGAAGGAGGATGACATCCAGCAGATGAATCCTCCAAAGTTCGACATGATTGAAGATATGGCCATGCTGACTCATCTCAATGAGGCGTCAGTACTTTCCAACCTGAAACGTCGCTATGCCAACTGGATGATCTACGTAAGATAACAGTAGCATGTCTTTTCTGGAGCATTGTATTATTTTTAGGTTCTAAAATCTTGTCTATAATATACTCCATCATATTTACTTATTTTCCTCTGCTTAAACAAAATTCTAGCTTGATCTGCGCTTATGGTTTTACTTCAACGTCATTGAATTTAAAAGAGCACGCCAAGCACCACAAATAACTTCTCCTGGCTGTAGTGGTTATGGTGCCAGGTGTTCCTTGGTCACCCCCTCTACATTTTAAGTAGTTTAACTGTTTAAGAATGGTCACCAATGGGTTTAGCTCAGATATAGATTATGGCTCTCTGTAGAAACTAAGGCAGGGAGTCCATCCGGCAAGAGGTCAAAGCATTATAAAACTGTTTGGCCCCTTACAATGACACATGGTAGTGATTATGGTGCTTGGGGTGTTCCTTTAATGATTACCGTTTAAGCAAGATAATATATCTTCATGAGAGTTTCCCTACTTTTAGTCTGTATTTGGAGCAGTCTAATTAGTAAGCAAAGTGTTGATCTGTTGAATATGTTTTGGTAATCAAGGGTGCGTATGCCACCATTTCTACCCCGACCGCTGAGAGATGACAGGTAGTAGGTTCTTCAACTCTCATTGCTTAATGTTAGATCAGATTGAGATCAGAATGACTTTTAACTGCCATCTTATCCACTGCAAATTGGGTCATCTTGGCCCACCAATTAGGTGACTCGATGAAGATATCTATTGACCAGGAAATATGTCTGATGTCCAGTGACTAGAACCACAATCCCCCATCAAAGCATATAAGGAATAGCAGGGCAGTTGTAAAGATTAAATGAAGCTTCAAGTGATGAGTCTATAAACACCAATTCTGGGGCAAAGTGCTCACAGCGTATTGTTTTATGGTTAATATTTTTTGGAGGGTGATCTGGGAATGCTATCTTGTTTGTTAGAGGAATCAGAGTTTAATTCTTTCCTCTCTCTATAGACCTATTCTGGGCTCTTCTGTGTAACCGTGAACCCATACAAATGGCTTCCTGTGTACACTGCAACTGTTGTAGCTGCCTACAGAGGCAAGAGGCGCTCCGAGGCTCCACCACACATCTATTCCATCGCCGATAACGCATACAATGAGATGGTGCGCAGTAAGTATCATGGACGTGCAACACTTTATTTAACCATTATGATATTGATGCCCTTATCCAGAGGGAATTACATAGACTAGCAATAATACCGTGATATTACAGTCACAAAGTACTTTAAACGCTGAGTTCACTAAACGGGACTGAGTTCACTTAATTACCTTCAAATTAATTTAATGTTTTTTAATACCATTTGTGTCCTTTAACTGTTTTGATGCATCAGCAAAGATCTTAGCCTTAAATACGGGCTTAAAAATGCATCTAAACCAACTGAGATTTAGTTTTCTTGTTTTGTTTGTTTTTTGTTTTTTTGTCCAAAAAAATGCTTCACTTTTGTCTGAAAATTTGTTACTTTTCTCTTTTTAGATCGTGAAAACCAATCCATGTTGATCACGTAAGTACTTTTTTGTAAATGTTATACAGTTATGTTGTATATGTTATACAGAATCTCGTGGCTATCGAGAATTTTTGGTACTGTAATGTTTGAGAGCCCTGCCTAAAAGCATACTTAGATTTGTATTAGTTTTACCGGATAATTGACTCTAAACAAACATATATGCCTAACCTTAATCCTGGCGGCATCCATAAAAGGCCAGGCTATTATATTTTATATTAAAATGTGACTATACATTGTACCCATCATCACCGTTGGTGCCAAGGCCCTATCATTGGTAGCCTGGTGCAGAGTTGCTATTCAATAAAAAGAGGACTTAATAATGAAGATACTTTCCCATGTCAATGGATAGTGAACTAGTCTCAGTGCATTCTTATTTGTGTGTCCAACTAGTAAGCACCCATGTTGCATCCTAAACGCCCCACAGTTAAGCTAAGGTAGCCCAAATGTTAAGTTTTGCTGTATTTTTCTTTTTATATATTGGACAAATATTCAAGCCTTTTTGAAAGACAAGAATCGTTGGGTTTCTCATAGGAAAGGTAGTCTGCGGAATCTAAAATGCCAAAGATTACCCATCACAGTTATGAACAGACATTCCAACTTTTTAAACAATAGGCTCACTAAACCTGATTAGCTTGCAGGGAAAGGCTAAATTAAGAAGGGTGCTCTACCATGCACCATTCACAGATCCAGCCGGCGTCATTGCCTAATTAGGTAAACGCTAGATAAGGCATTAAGCTTGGCCATTATCCTGCAGCAGCTATAATACTATCATTGTCCGAACTCTTTGTTATCTTGGGCCACTGTTTAGTGCCAACAGCTAAAGCTATTTATAGCAGTGAAATCATTGTGGAACAATGGGGAGCGACTGCTGTGATATAAAGCACAGCAATTTATCAGAGCTGTCAGTCTCCGTAACCCAACACCCAAAGGGAACTGGTACCAAAACTGATAGCGGCTATTAAGGTTGTATAAAAAATACACCGTACTTTAGATCACAGCCTTTCTACCCTTTGGATTACCAGGCGACCCTTTAAGAAGAATGGAAATAAATTATGTATACTAAAGATCTTCTTTAAAATCAATTTTAAAACTTCAAATACGGTTTTATTTGTCTTACTCTACACTTGTGTAGTGGTGTGTTCAATAAGTGTGCTAGATGTAGGAACTGTTTATTCTCCCTGTCACACATTTAGATGCCTACCCATAGTAATGTTTTGTCGCATATTGTATGGTGATCTACTAAAAATATAGAATTGGCTTTAGCCTTTTATACACTTAATTGTCACTGAGAAAAAAAATGCTTGCGAAAATTCAAATATATATACATATTAATATATACACATATACGTTAATATGTACATATATATAATTGCAAAATAATCAGGGTATTGCAGTATGCAATGATACATTTTTGTGCTGTTGTACTTTTGAAACACAACATTATCACAATTCCCTATTCATATTTACATATCTGGAGGTTTTAGTGTATGTATTGGGGCTGCCGCCCAGGAGTAGTGGGAGTCTGGGCGCAGAACGTATTTTTCTCTATAAAATTTCAAAAACAAGCAAAAGAATTCCTCTTTTGGGTCAGACATGAGAAAGAGAGGAAATCACTCGAAAACTCTAGTAAAAAAAAAAAGTACCATTGCATACTGCAATAGTCTCGCTGTTCAGGCATCGTGTGTCCTGGACTAATACGACTAATCCGATCTACATTATATAAATGTATATAGTAGATTGAATTATATTGACATCGTGTCTACTGGACTAATATGGCTAAACCAATCTACCTTACAGAAATATATATAGAGGATTGATTTATGATGTAGATTGGAATATATATATTTTTTTTGGGACTAATTAATAGTTAGTCGACTAATAAAAAGTGAATAAAAATACTGTGTACACACTTATCAAATGAGATATGCTAGCTTGATTCCACTATCCATTTCAATGAAAATGACCAGTTAATTAATTTGACACTATTACTATTATTGTACATGTTACGGTTGTTACGGTTTGTAATGAATCAGTCTTCTGCCTGTCTGTTTGTCGTTCTGCCTGTCTGTTTGTCGTTCTGTCTGTCTGTTTTTCTTTCTGTCCGTCTGTTTCATGCCACAAACAAGTATTTTTACATAGCTGATTGCCTGCTTTGGTTGGCTATGACTGTGTATCTCATACTTGTGTGAACAGTTAGGTAGATAGAAAATTTGGGGAAACTGGCCTTGAATCTGCTCCATTTGGGCAGACATCTCTAAATAATCAATTAATTTAAATTTTGCCATGGTCCTAAGCCTGTGAGGAAAATCCTTATATCAAACTCAGGATCATGAAGGTTCTACCAAGCTGACCAGAGCTTCGGCATTCATCGTGGTGTGGTATTAACTATGGCCTTGGCCAACCTGCCAACGGGTCCTGCTGGATTCCATTGTGTGTCCTGGAGAGCTAAATTCACGTTCACTTTAATGAATCTTTAAAGTGTTCCTCAACTGTAGCAAAATATTTGTGGGTCTGATCTCTAGACAAGATATGTGTGTATAACAAATCGAAGCATACCTCCCAACATTTTAAATGGACGAGAAGGGACTGTTTAACTTTTTTGGGGTGTGAGTCGGGGTGTTGCCATGGGCAGGTCTATTTGAAAATTTTAGGTGACTTACTGATAAAAATATATGAAACTAAAATGTTATTTTGGAACAAGAACAATGTATCTTATTCTAAACACATTTATTGTAGTTTATTTATTTTTTTTAATTCTTTATTTTTATGTTTTTTGCTCAAACATTTATAATTACCAAGTATCAACGGTTGGGCTTACGCAGAAGCCAAATCATGGGTAACATCTTAACAGTTACATGCAATTCAATCTTTACAGTATGTGTTCATATTTAGCGGAGCCATGAGGGAATACCCTCTTTGAAGGATTTTTAATAATATAATTCCTCGGTATATTTTATCGGTTTGACCGGATTACCTAGGTGTGGAGGGGAAGTGTCCCTGACACAGCGGCAAATTGAGGCTTAACGATGAGCTATATAATGTTTCATATGTCGTGTAAGTCTTGTGCCGTTATTGGTATATCTGTATTGTCAGTATCCGATCTGTAGTTTGATATTTTCAGTTCCTTAGATATATTTATAGGATTAATAGTCTGAGGTCTATCTGGGATTGCTAGGGTTCCCATTACGTTCGTTACGTTGACCTTGTCTGAGGAGGTTGGTATGCAGAGTAATTATCGAATAAGAAATTGATTTTTCCCGTACAGATGCGGGAGGAGAAAAATTAAGGAATTAGAATAAGGGAGACTGAGAAAGAGAAAGGGAAAGTAGTATAAAGTAAAGAAGCATTATATAGTGAATGCGGTGACCCAGAGGCGGCGAGGAAAGGACGTCAAGGGATGATATCCGGGGGGGGGAGGGGGACAGCAGGCTCAGCCAGATGTCCCTATGCCAAGTGCGTCGAATGGGTCCTCCGGACGGGGGAGGACTCCGCTGCTGGTTTAGTTTTACTGTTAGGACCCCTTTACATCTTTCTTTCAATCCTATCTGTCCTCTCTAGAACCCACTACGCTATTATCCCACGGTTCCCAGAGTTTTAGGAATGTTTCTGTCGATCCCTTCACTCTTGCTGTTAAGTCGTCCATAATCCTACATTCGCGGATCCTGGATACCACTCCCGGATTTATTGTAGTTTAAATACACATTACTGTGAGTATTATTGCTGTGGAGCTCTGTTATACACTCAGACACAACAACAATATGGCGCTCTTGGAAAAGGGGAATGATATGATAGAAAAGAGGTGCAGAGGGATTTGGGCCCAAAATATTGACTTTTCCTCCTAAATAGGACACTTGGGAGGTATGTGAAGGAAATAATGAAAAAGTGATGCTGAGATTAGTTCTGAATCATAATTTATTGATCTTTACTCCCTGTCTGAATGACTAAAATTAACTTATTCCTTTTTGCCAATTCTTGAATGGATTCTAGAATCTATCAAATCTATACAATATCATCTTTGCTCATTCTTGAATGGATTCTAGAATCTATAAAATCTATACAATATTATCTTTGCTAATTCTTGAATGGATTCTAGAATCTATAAAATCTATACAATATTATCTTTGCTAATTCTTACTGTTCACATTTATATCTGTTTCTTAACCGATTCACATATTTCTGTTGCCCAAAGTGGAGAATCCGGTGCAGGCAAAACTGTTAACACAAAACGTGTAATCCAGTACTTTGCCATAGTGGCAGCCCTTGGGGAAGGGATCGGAAAGAAGAGCGTAAGATTACGTTTTGGGCAGCGCTGCCCTTGGAGTGATATTTTACCTTTTTCTTTTTATCCCTTGCTTTTTTTATTCTTGATTTTTTTTTTTATCTTGTTTTTTATTTATTTTTATCTTTTATCATGCTTTTTTCCCATGGATTAATGTGTTTTTCTTTTCTTCATAACCTCTTGGCCCCAATACGGGATCTCATTTAATCACTTCCATTTCCTAGAAAAAAAAAACAACAATCTTCTATTCGATTTTATATAATAATTCATAATCCCTACAAACATCCTTTCACTAAAACTCCTACAAAAATTATCCTTTTATTTAAAAAAAACGGCTTTTTGCTTTCTTTCAATTAATATCTACTCTTGTTTTACCCGACTATTTTAATTTCTTTACTCGCTGTCATCAGCTTTTTCCATGTAACTCAAGATCATTGCGTTTTGTTTGTTTGTTTTTTTTATTCAATTTTTTCATTTTGCAAAATTCATTTTTTCCACTTTTTAAACTGAATTTTAGTCTTGTTATGGTGTTTTTTGTGTTTTTTTTGTGAGTGTTTTTTTTAAAGCAACATCCTTTCACTGAATTTTTACAACCAACCGTTAAATCTTTATCCTTCTTGCAACTAAAAAAACCAGAAATTCATGATTTACATCTCTTTGCAAATGAAATTAAATTTGGATCTAATCTGTTCCAGTTTCTACTATCTGCTTTCTTTCCATGTAAAATTATAACTGTTTAGCGTTTTCTATTTTGCAAGTTCCTAGCGCTTTTCTTTTTCCCTTTCATAAAATTGTATTCATTCATGATGGTTTTTCCCCCCTCTTATCTTTTTTTTAGTAGATCGTTTTGGCTGTGTTTTTACGAATCCCAATTGTATTGTTCTTCTTTTGCATAACGCTTCTTTCCCTTCCTTGCTTTTTATAAAGTATAACTCATCCTTGTTTGTGGCAGCTTTAGAATTTACATTCAGTTTTAACTTTGTTTACGCTCACGGGAGCTAATATTTCACGGTCACTACAATCAAACATTTTATTTGTTTTTCTTTATATTTTCAGCAGGCTCCGGCTACAAAAACTGGGGTAAGTCTGTGGATTAAAAAGCATAAATTTAAAAAAAAATTGTCAGTCACTTTAAAGGGACCCTTTATTTTTGATATGATATTTACTAATACCCTATATTTAACAAATACCTATAAGTTTGAAAAATAAAATTAAGTGAATAAATCTCTGTCTTATTATCCTGTAACTGGATGACTCCATTTTAGCTCCTTGTCAATCCAATCTCTAGGATCACAGGCATTTGAGGATATAGGGATCATCCAGTTCTGTTCCAATAAACATACAGAGAAGTCGTAGTCTGAAGTGGATGCGGAAATAGTCATTGAAGGGACACTCCACTGCCCAGAAACAAACAGAAATGACTGTTTAGTAGATATAATCCCGATGAAAACATGTATGCATTAAATTATGCATTTTGTCATTAGGGGTGTATCTAAAAACAGTTTGCAAATGCTGCAGATCTCTTGTGTGCTGCCTTTGCAAGCCCTCCCCTTCTAACCCAGCCCAGACTTTCTGTGGCTCTCCAATCACGGACTTCCCAATGCAGCTCAATGAGAGGTCTTTGGAAGGCAGGTGCTCTGGGCAAGTATCTGCTTCTTCAGTTTAAGGCCACTGAGCTAATAAACCAGGAAGTAACAGGACTGTCTGTTTGATTGGCAGCCAGTGGGGTGTTTCACGGTTAATTTATAAAAGAGACAATTTCTATTGAAAACTGCTTTTTTTGTAAAATGAAATAAAAAGGACACATTATTCACACATAAACACTTCCAATAAGTTTTTTGTCTGTGGAGTGGGCCTTTAAGGACAGCCTGGAAAAATGATATGCCGTACTTTCAGTCTGGCTACTCTGGCCTTAAATTTGAAATTTACTTTGAATTCTCGCTTTGGTGAAATACCCTGTCAGTTACAGACCCTACAAAGCCAATCAAAGCCATATTTTTTTCTTTTAACTGTTAAAAATCTATTTATATAGATTTAATTTATTCCATATCACTGTTTATAGAGGCATAAAGACTTTGTTACAGATATTAACATCAGGAAACAGACAGTACTACAATACTTTAAAGGTTCTATGAGTTTTAAAAAAATTCTTGTATTGTTGGATATATAAGTATATTTTGTCTATTTTCATGTGTTGTCATTTGTTAAATAAATAAAACAGATCTGGAAATTGGTGCTTTTGTCTAGGGTAAAGGTTTGTTAGTGAATTTGGACATTTTCCCAAATACTGGCTTGTAATGCAAGCTCAAAGGAAATTGTATTCTCCAAAGCTCTAAAAATTATGCATGCAAGTAAATGTATCTTTGAAGATATTGTTTTTGCGCATGTGTAATATAGTATTCTTTGTAACAATCATATGTTTAAAGTTTTATTTTCTAGTGAACGGCTGGCTACCATTGCAGCCTTGCCACACCATCTCACATTTCAATTTTTTGCAGGGGACCTTGGAAGATCAAATCATCGAGGCTAACCCAGCAATGGAGTCTTTTGGCAATGCCAAAACTCTGAGAAATGATAATTCCTCTCGTTTCGTAAGTAGTTTGTGGGTATATATTTTCAACAAAAATGTGTGTATAATAAATTTAGCCCCCAAAACACAGGAATCAGAATAAATTGAATTATATTTAAAATGAAGTCCTCCGCTTACTGTCAGCCAAACATTATGCAGTCTTGTAGTTCCTGCACAGTTCCATGATAAGTTCATTGAAACCTGCTGAGGATAGCTGATCTCAAGTGGAGCTCACTATACACATTTTATGGATGTTTCAAGCACCATAACTGCTACAGCTGATTGTAAAGAAGCGCTCCATACCCCTAAAACACTTCAGCTGTAGTGGTTATGGTACTAGATGTGCTCTTGCACTCCTCCGAAACAAACCATTTCAGAATGGTTTGAAAACCTACCTAGGTGTCATGAGCAACGGAACTGCTTCTGATCTCCTGCAGGAGAAACCGAATGTCTGGTCCAGCCACTCTCAGCTAATGAATGCGGTCATGCATGGCCCTGCTTAGCTAACCAAATTCTTCTGCAAGTATAACCTGGAAGCAGAAGAGGGTGCCCAGTGGAACCCGGGTAAGTGGTCAATGATGTCATGGCGTTAGGGGGGATTATATCTGTATATGAAGAGTGGAGAACATGTATGTTGAGGTCAATGCATTTGGAGAGTTGATGCCTATTGATAAAATATTTTACTTATTTCTGTTTCACAGGGAAAGTTTATCCGAATACATTTTGGACCAACTGGAAAGTTGGCTTCGGCCGACATTGACATTTGTAAGTATATAGCACTGTAGAAGTGGTAGCACAGAAAAAAGATGACATACTGTGAATTATAATCATGTGAATTATCAGTCATGTAATTGGTCATACCAGACAGGCAATTGTGTACCATAAATACGGTTACCATGGAGATGCTGACACTAAACTAGCTTTAAATGTTTTTGAAATCTTAATTTATACTCCAGTAGTTAGTATTACTGAAACTACCTGAAGCCCAAATTGATTGTATTGTTAGATAATAGGTCACCTCTTATTTAATCTAATTTTGACTATAGTGCATTTTGATGCAGTTTCCCTTGGAATTGCCAGAGCTTTTCAAGTGTTATGGATACTACTAAGTCTGTGGAGAGCTGCCAGATTCGGATGAACTTTGTAGGAATGTTGAACAGCCAGAGTTTCTGTAGAATATGAGTTCAGCTGAAGTCGAGAAATGTCCGTGCAGATGCATATTAGAACTCTGTGCAACTCTGTGAAAAAATAATTGTATCTGGTTCTGCACAAATTTAGTTAGGCTGTCCTAAACCTTAGTTCTTGAACACCGTGCCTAAAAACTAAAGATCAGATTGCACCTATTCCTAAAAATAATCTCACAAATCAGATCCTGGGATAACACCTTCTTGTTTCTGTTGGTGAGTTAATCATTGTTGAGTTATTGGTTTGTCAAGCAGCTAAGCCTTTGATGCACATCCTACAAAATGTTCTTGTTTTTTTTTTTACACCCTTTAATTTTTTTTTTAGACCTCTTGGAAAAATCAAGAGTGATTTTCCAGCAGCCTGGGGAGAGAAGTTACCATATATATTACCAGATCCTATCTGGAAAGAAGCCAGAACTTCAAGGTGAGTGTGAACAAGCATGTTTAGACATGACGGAAGGTCTAAGCAAATGTTGGCTTGAAATAGCACTCCTATTCCTTCTCGTATAACAGCTTGTTGTGGTTCTGGTTTAATACCCATCTAGTGTCTGCGCACGTTTTTGAACTAACTAGTATTTGACCGATCATTAAGACTGAAAGGTCTTTATAAAATAGTGTTCATTTTATGTTTTTTTAAATTGCTTGGACAGTGGATGTTAAATGATGTTATATAACTTACTTTTGTATTATTTATAATATACCGCACATTTAGGAAGTGGGGATTCGTTTTGTATGGTCAGCATTGTACCCTAGGTGAAATTAGTTGCCATCAAGATCCTCTCTGCTCTGGATATTCCCCTTAGGCTTTTATTTTATTGCTTTTTTGGGTATGGTTTGGGTTGTTGTTGGTTTTTTTTTTTGGTGTTCAGATAGAATTAGCACTTGTATGTATATGTCAGGAACATAAATGGCAATATAAAAAAAACATTAGACATCAGTAAGACCTGTTGAGATGGTGGCACATGAAAAATAGCAATAAGCGTGTTCAAGGCTAGTATATGTAACCATGTTTTCTTAGACAGTAGGATTTACACAATCTGCTGTACTACCTTAGTAATGAAGAAATTATAACTGCACTTGTAATGTGGAAAGTTAATGGTAGGCTATGTATGATGAGCTATTCTTTGTCACAGTTCTTAAGTGAAACAACCTCCATGGAAACAAGTGGAATGTAACACCTTCGGAACATTGCTCCAGAATTGCTTTTTAAAACTTCTACCACTTCTGTTGAGATATTTCTTAAACTCCCCGATTAATACAGAGATTATCTTACAGACATGTTGCTGCTCTCCACCAATCCCTATGATTACCACTTCTGCTCACAAGGTGTAACAACCGTCGATAACTTGGACGATGGAGAAGAACTCATGGCCACTGATGTAAGTATCACATCACAAACAATAAGACAATAATCAATGTTTATTGTGCAAGGATGTAGTAATAATAAAACTGGAATAGATGTTATCCACCCAAGTAGCAAAATAGAGCCATCTTTTTTAATAGTTTGTTAAAACATCAATATATGCCTCTTGGGTTGAGTATATATTTTTATGACTACCTATGGATGCCTAGACCAAAATGTAGTTTTCATTAGAAGAAAATAGTCAGCTAGACGCAGAGGTACCCGGTATGACCAAAATAGGGTATAAGGTCCATGGTTAACATCTCATGGATAAGTTGACTGCTCAAGTCCACCAGACTATGGCTTCCTTTAATAAACCATGGCAGAAATGAGAAAATTAAAAAGGAACGTGAGACTGATTTTTTAACAGGACAAATGACCCACCTTTTACAATTATCTATCAATTTTGTTTTCTTGGCATCTTTCCTTCTTTCTTCTCTAATTTCTGTGTTATTACACTGGTGTCATTTGAACACGTTATCTGTTTAAAGAAGCCATTGAGAATAATAATAATTATGTTCTTATTTACTGATAAAAATATGGCCTTCTCTCCCCCTCCCCCCCCTCCTAAAAATATTCAAATATCTAAGTTCTACAACATTACGTCCCAAGAGGTATTTATCTGCCACAGGACAACCCCCACCCACGTAGGGACATTTGGGTGGACATGATGCTTACACACGGACGGGCCGAAAGCCACCTTTCATGTGATAATATCAACATGACGTTAAACTTTTACTATATGACACACTGCTTTTTCGAAAGTTGTACTGTTCAACCAATTGACTGTAACATGCTCTAAGCAAACTATTCAATAAAAACACAATAAATATAAAAAATCTGTCCTTGAGTCGCTGTTCAAGGATTTTATATATTCACCAATATACACATCATGTAAAACACTTATATCGACAACTTATAACATGTGAATGTGGATGTAACAGTGACACCTGGCTCTTTGAAAATTAAGGATAAAACATAACAAAACAAAAAAGTAGGCAGCATAAGTACACTATCACATGAAAGTCCAAATTCACCGACACAAAACACTGAGTGCTCTCTGATGTTCAGGAAAGGAAATGGTGTTTCCTTTTTAAATCTCGGATACATGTTGTATCCGAGATTGGGTCACTGGTAAAATTGTACAACTGAAAAATGTGTTGCCAATCCAATAAGATTTATACAAACTGGGATGCAAAGCAGGGGCTTATGCAGATAACGATGACTTGAAGTAAGAATAAAAACACAATAACTATAGCTCGGCATTCTATAGGACTTCTGATAAATTTCTAGTTTTCTCCAAGCATATGCAACATGATCCTATGTAGGGAACTCATGCCAGGAACACAAATGCACCGATACACGATTTACAATATGGTATCTTTCTCCAGCACGCCATGGACATTCTTGGTTTCAGTCAAGATGAGAAGACAGCCAGCTATAAAATAGTAGGCGCCGTCATGCACTTTGGAAATATGAAGTTTAAGCAGAAGCAGAGGGAGGAGCAGGCAGAAGCCGAAGGCACTGAAAGTGAGTGTGTATCTTTTCTAGTGACTGTCCAACAGTTGTCCTGCTATCATTACATGACCTTGACCATCCTGGTCAAGCGTCTTAGTGGGCGGCCATACTGTTATTGGAAGTACTGGGCTGAAAATGGGCAATAAAGAGTATCTACATATCCGTTTTATTTCACAACTTAAACATTGGAAACAGTGCAAAAAAAAGCATTTTAAAGAACTTAATCAAGTACATGTTCAATTTGAACTTAATTGGTAAAATGGTTATTTTGCCATGGGTAATTATTTGATGAATTTCAATGTTGTGAAATGTACATTGAATCTAGACACTGAGGTTTAAATGATTGTAGTATATTGATTTGTATAGGTGCTGACAAGGCGGCTTACCTAATGGGCATCAGCTCAGCTGACCTCATTAAAGGTTTACTCCACCCAAGAGTTAAGATTGGAAATGAATATGTGACCAAAGGTCAAAATGTGGAACAGGTAAGTCCTTGCAGTTCCATACATGTGTTGTTATAAGTCTTGTTGATATAATAAACCCTCAGCTTTGTTTTCCTTCTATCAACTGAGTCTAGGCTCAGGCCATTATTATACGAGGAAAACAAAAAGAATTAACCTAGGGCCAAAATTTAGATATCACAAGGTAGAGGGCACAAAAAAGGGGGGTAACCCCTAAATGGTGAATATCATAGGGAATAAACAGAAAAAGAAACAAATGCCATTCTACCTGTGTATGATTTACTGAGAGGACTGTAGATTAAAAAGTAACTTTTAATAAATAAATCTAAAATAAGAATATAAAAGGCTCAGGCCATGACCCATGCTCATAAAAGTTTACATAACTCAGATACAAATTGGTCCCATTATTATATTGCCTCAAGAGATGACTTCTCTTTTGGGCTGTAGTAGGTGCAGGGGGCATATGGACGGTGGGAGGATAGTGCCTGCAGTGGGAGCAGTGAGGGATAGGGGCTGTAGTGAGTACAGGGAGGGATAAGGTTATGTATGTCTTTATTGCCAGTAAAATGATACTAGCCAACCGTGCGACATAGAAAGGCAAGGTAACATTATGTATGTGTATATTGCCAGTACAATGATACTAGCCAACCGTGCGACATAGAAAGGCAAGGTAACATTATCTATGTGTATATTGCCAGTACAATGATACTAGCCAACCGTGCGACATAGAAAGGCAAGGTAACATTATGTATGTGTATATTGCCAGTACAATGATACTAGCCAACCGTGCGACATAGAAAGGCAAGGTAACATTATGTATGTGTATATTCCCAGTAAAATGATACTAGCCAACCGTGCGACATAGAAAGGCAAGGTAACATTATGTATGTGTATATTGCCAGTACAATGATACTAGCCAACCGTGCGACATAGAAAGGCAAGGTAACATTATCTATGTGTATATTGCCAGTCAATGATACTAGCCAACCGTGCGACATAGAAAGGCAAGGTAACATTATCTATGTGTATATTGCCAGTACAATGATACTAGCCAACCGTGCGACATAGAAAGGCAAGGTAACATTATGTATGTGTATATTGCCAGTACAATGATACTAGCCAACCGTGCGACATAGAAAGGCAAGGTAACATTATGTATGTGTATATTGCCAGTAAAATGATACTAGCCAACCGTGCGACATAGAAAGGCAAGGTAACATTATGTATGTGTATATTCCCAGTAGAGTGATACTAGCCAACCGTGCGACATAGAAAGGCAAGGTAACATTATCTATGTGTATATTGCCAGTAAAATGATACTAGCCAACCGTGCGACATAGAAAGGCAAGGTAACATTATGTATGTGTATATTGCCAGTACAATGATACTAGCCAACCGTGCGACATAGAAAGGCAAGGTAACATTATCTATGTGTATATTCCCAGTAAAATGATACTAGCCAACCGTGCGACATAGAAAGGCAAGGTAACATTATGTATGTGTATATTCCCAGTAGAGTGATACTAGCCAACCGTGCGACATAGAAAGGCAAGGTAACATTATGTATGTGTATATTGCCAGTACAATGATACTAGCCAACCATGCGACATAGAAAGGCAAGGTAACATTATGTATGTGTATATTGCCAGTAAAATGATACTAGCCAACCGTGCGACATAGAAAGGCAAGGTAACATTATCTATGTGTATATTGCCAGTAAAATGATACTAGCCAACCGTGTGACATAGAAAGGCAAGGTAACATTATCTATGTGTATATTTGCTAACTAGTCATGTGAGATAGAAAAGGTAACAGGTAACTTTATTTATGTGTATATTTCTGGTTACTTTTTTTGCCATTTTTCAAAGAAGCACATGTTCAGTAGTTCAGATGAGTTATCAGCTGATGCTACATTTTGTTAGGCATAAACTGAATATCAAATCAGTGAATGAAGCCCATCACCACACAGTTACGTTGATGATAAGACAATAGAGGGATGCTGTGTTTTTCTGTAGCTGAGTGGCTATTAATGTGTCTATTATTAACTGCGAACCTTTTCCCAACACCCTCTCTTTTGTAGGTCGTTTTTGCAGTTGGTGCTTTGGCGAAGGCTACATATGACCGCATGTTCAAGTGGCTTGTTAGTCGAATTAACAGGACGCTGGACACAAAACTATCCAGACAGTTCTTCATAGGAGTCCTGGATATTGCCGGCTTTGAAATATTCGAGGTAATTCTTCTATTCAGCCTAACGTTAAAGAAAAAAAACAGCAATATACAAAAAAGCATTTTCCTACATTCAAAATTGATTTTGTGTTCCTTATGGTTTAATTTTCTTTTTTTTAAATTTATTTATTTCTTTTTATTTTATATTATATTTTTGCATTGCATAAGGTTATTACAGACACGCCTGAGGCACCCCAATGGCAATCTTCAGGCATAACATCACGCTTAACATTTGGGGCACCAGAGCTAACATGCACAATTTTAAATTATATTAAATTAAAGCAAGGTTTAAGCAGGTAAGGCACATGAGTGTAACTAAAACTTTGAGACAAGTAAAAAATATGCTACATGCCTGTCTAGGGAGATGTGGTTCCACCTTGAGGGTCTTAGTGTAATAGGAGTGAGAGTCTGGGTTGGTTAGAGCATTTGGAGACTTGCCAGCTGAAGAGTCTGTATGCGTTATTGGGAGAGATGCAGGAAGGCTTCCTGTCTCTCAACCTATGCCCATCAGTGACAGGTCACAGTCCCATTGAGTGGTGCTAGTCTGCCAGTCAAGTACTGTCTAAGTCGGCAAGATGGCACTGTGGTGATAAGTCAGGCGGTGCAAGGTGATCCGCTGTCCGCTTCGTGTTTCATCCCACTCAGAGAACTCCTGCCCGGGCTTGGACAAGCCCCTCCACAGCCCATGTCTGTGTGAAACTTTTCTCCAGCACTGCCGCTGCTGTCCACCTTGCCTGAGACGGGTCTTCACAGGGCCGGCAGCCACGTGGCGGTTCATTTTCTTTTTTTATATCTTTATTAACATGGCATATTTTATTGTATAAAAAAAATGATTCTTGACTTTTATTTAATGTGATCTCTAGAGTACGATGTGACACACTTGGTCCCAAACAGTTATTACACACATATTTGGTTATTATATTGTAATATAAAACATACTGACTTTTATCGGGAGGAATGAGCTTAAAACAGCATAAAAAATACTGCACAAATTCTGTTGTACTTTCACAATGTGTTCGTCAAAATATGGATTAAAACAAAAGGTATATGGTCAGTTATCTCTTTGATGCTTTTTATTCCACACTTGGGGTAAATTGGAGTTTTTTTCATAATAGGGATTTCCTAGTATAGCAGGTGTAACGAAAATTAAAGGAACACTATATTCATCTGAATTACTTTAGTAAAATAAAGCAGTTTTAGTGTATAGATCATTCCCCTGCAATTTCACTGCTCAATTCACTGTCATTTAGGAGTTAAATCACTTTGTTTCTGTTTATGCAGCCCTAGCCACACCTCCCCTGGCTATGATTGACAGAGCCTGCATGAAAAAAAAACTGGTTTCACTTTCAAACAGATGTAATTTAACTTAAATAATTGTATCTCAATCTCTAAATTGAACTTTAATCACATACAGGAGGCTCTTGCAGGGTCTAGCAAGCTATTAACATAGCAGGGGATAAGAAAATCTTAATTAAACAGAACTTGCAATAAAGAAAGCCTAAATAGGGCTCTCTTTACAGGAAGTGTTTATGGAAGGCTGTGCAAGTCACATGCAGGGAGGTGTGACTAGGGTTCATAAACAAAGGGATTTAACTCCTAAATGGCAGAGGATTGAGCAGTGAGGCTGCAGGGGCATGTTCTATACACCAAAACTGCTTCATTAAGCTAAAGTTGTTCAGGTGACTATAGTGTCCCTTTAAAATAAGTTTCAAATTCCACAAAAACTGTAAAAGTATGTATGTATCAAGCCCAATTGTTACAATCCTCCCCATTCCCCGTCTCTCTCTACCGTACCCCTTATGTTTTTTGAAGAATGACAAAACAATAAGAATTGCCAAATTTAAAAAAATAAAACAAAATTAGTTTCAAATTAAGTGATTTTCAGAAGAATAAAAATCATATTATTCACACTGTATGTCTCTATTTTTTATGATTTATAAATGCTTGTTTCAAAATTTTCTTTTTTTTTAAATTATTATTAAAATTCTATTTTGAATGTAATATTGAAACCATGCCGTTATCTGTCATTAACAGTGTTTTTATTTTTTTTATATTTTACAGTATAACAGTTTTGAACAGCTCTGCATCAATTTCACCAATGAGAAACTGCAACAGTTTTTCAACCATCACATGTTTGTCCTAGAACAGGAGGAATATAAGAAGGAGGGAATCGAGTGGGTGTTTATTGATTTTGGGTTGGACCTTCAAGCTTGCATTGACTTAATAGAAAAGGTACCATCTGCAATAAAACATAGATAATGTGAACAGATGCAACCTGTGTTGGCTAGCACAAAATGTGGAGTAATGCGTAGGATGAAGTAGTGATACACGCAGAAACGTTGGTGGGATTGTACAAAGAAGGAAGTGTGGTGTGGAGGACAGAGTTATCTGTGAAAAGATGATTGAATGGTGGAGAACAATGACTGGTTGGTGTGGGTCAGGTAAAATAAATGAGATGGTCAGGAAAATTTGACAGGGTAGTGCAGAGTATGTGTAAATTGTCCAAGAAGAGTGCAAGGATGGTGCAAGAATGGTACAGGAAGTATAAGACAGATGGACATGAAGAATGGGCATGATGTAGAAGATCAAAACCTTGTGTGTGTGTGGGTGCAGAGAGACAGAGAAAACATTCAGGAAGTAGCAGAGAGATAGGTTGGAAAAGTCATCTGGAAGAGAGAGTGGTAAGGTAAGGTGATGAGAGGTGGCTTTGGAGAATGGTAGAATAATGTCAAAACAGAACTAGCATGGGTTGGAGGAGGGAATGTAAAAATGCTAATCTATTATTAATTAGATCTTTTTTCATTGGAAGGTTTAAGGAAAGTAAGAGTTTAGCGTACTATCTACACCTAATATAATGTGTACATAATCTATAAATGTAAATATATGTATTTGGATGTGGATTAAATCTAAATATGGGCTGATCTCCTGACCCACATTCTTCTACCAGCCTTTAGGTATCCTGTCCATCTTGGAAGAAGAATGCATGTTCCCAAAGGCATCAGATATGAGCTTCAAAGCAAAGCTTTATGACAATCACTTGGGAAAGTCTCCCAACTTCCAGAAGCCGAAACTCGACAAGAAACGCAGATATGAACCTCACTTTGAGCTGGTCCATTATGCTGGAGTGGTATGTATTTTTTTAAGTATTTTGCCGCTATGATGTGAGCATTTTTTCATCCACCCCTTCACTTCTCATACACGCAGTGCTTCAGTGGCAGTGAGGGCTTCACAGTGTGAGAAGTGAAGAAACATTGTCTGACATCTCTCCCCCAGCCCTCCTGCTTACACATTGCTGCATTATATTCAACCTCCTTAGAGAAAGAGGAGCACCAGGTTAGACAATGCAGCAGGCATGGAGGCAAAAAGTCTGCGTCAGGGTAAATGGAGCTCTGCCAACTCCACCCCCTGCTGCTAGCAGCCTATGAGAATCCAGAGGGCAAGCCTGTCTTTTACGGCAGCATATTTGCTCAACGAAATGAAGGCACTGGGAACAAGTGGCGACAGCTAATGAGTAGTAATAATTAACAGAACATAAGCCACACATGTTTGGCCAAACGTACATATCTTAAAGGTGTATGTATTCACAAAAAAAGTTAAAAAACAAAACAAAAGAAAAAACGATTTACATAGCTTAATTAATTAATTGCAACAGAAATTAGGGGGGCCCTGCCCCAGCTGACCCTATGGACGAGCCTCTACTGGCTCGTGGGACAGACTTTTAAAGCTCTGACAATTCTAGGATTAAAAAGACAACCTGCTAATTATAAAAAATACATGTTTCTACAAAAAGAAAAAGCAGTGTATAATCTACAGTAGGTACTCTTATTACTCTCAAATATAGCATGGGTGGCCAGCTATTTAGGAATGACATCTATCTGATGGATAACTATCCTATGGCTCACTCCTGGTTTGTAGTTTTGCTAAATTTTTAGCATGTACAGTTTTATTTGTTGATTTTCTTTCTTTTACACAAAGTTAGAATATTTAGAATAGTGGATAAAACGGGGATAATAATAAATAACACCAGTATTCTTATGCTTTTCTCACACATAATCATTACGTATACTAAAGAAAAGGTTTGATGACCCAACTGACTGCTTGACGATGTCTGACCCAGCAGGTAATTTAAGTCCCTTTGACACCACTACCTGCAACATACAGTCAGCTTTAATGTACAAACATAAGGTTATCTTAACCTTGAAAGAAACATGTGTCCATGTAATAAAAGTACTGGCTTCAGATGCTGTTTAAAAAGCTAGATGACAGGAATCCCGTGCTAATCCCTGGTTTTGACAGGTATCTCACGCTAATCTCTCATTTTGACAGGTACCCTACAATATTATGGGCTGGTTGGATAAAAATAAGGACCCTCTGAATGAAACCGTTGTGACAGTCTTCCAGAAATCTTCAAATAAACTGCTGGCCAGTCTGTATGAAAAATATGCTGGCTCCTACTCAGGTAACAGCCTTATTATTCTTAATTCAAATATTCTTACACTGTTACAAACAACTTGATATACAGCAGACGGTCCCCATAATAAAAAGGAAGAAGGTCCTTGATCATGAGATGATATACAGCAGACGTTCTCCAAAATAAAAGGGAATAAGGACCCTGGAAGTCTTCAGGGTGTTAGAGCATAAGACAGACAGAAGGTTCACTGGGGATCAGCTCACTTGTGTTGTTTGATGTTTTCTAGGGGTTGCTATGATGTGAAGAGATGGGGTGGGGGGAGTTTGCTGTAGCAAGAAACATATTGACGAGAACGAGATGCCAAGGGCAAAGACCGAATTAGAGAGACATGGTCAGCGTTCATCAAGCCTTCTGTATGAACACGCAGGCTTGGTATGGAAGTGGGTCCAGTGTACAAGCCCCATTTTTTTACGGCAAAGAGATTACGTTTACTGACTCTTACAAGCTTTATAATTATACAGTTATATGCAACTCCATTCAAATACAGGACATTGCATTGAATCCTCGAGACCCACCAACAGTTCAGGCTTTATCAGTGTTTTCATTGGAACAGTATTGGGAATGGCTTAAACCCTGGACTCTATGGGTGCTTGAGGACTAAGATGGAACAGCTGACCTAGATAATGTAATTAGTTACAGGAGATATATCTATGAGATATGACATTTCTGCAGATTCAATGATTTTATTGAGGTTGCAGAGTTTAACACAGAGGAAATAAACAAATTATGCCAAAATATCAATGGTGGAAAAATTGCCCAATGTGTCTGCTGTGGCCTACATTTTAAAAATATTTCTTTTAAGCCACTGCAATCCATTATTTAATTAATAAAACACTACAGCTGTCGGTAGGTAACAATAACACACATATGTTACTTACTAAATTGAGATTATAAAACCAAAGCAACATGTGTTACAGCTATCATATTCAGCAGTCTTAATAATCTACCGTAAAGCATATACCAACAAGGGATATCTATAGAAAGGCTGTTTAACCCATGTTTAGTGGTTACGTTTATACTGCTAGCAGCTGCACAGAGTAAAGGTCTTCCAATCTCAAATAAGGGTCTTCCAATTTTATTATACCAGTGTAATAGCATTATGGGTTTAGGTTAGCTCTAAGATAATTTGCCTAATGAATATCCACCAAAGTGGCAAATCTTAGGGGCACCCCAAGAATTATTGACTCCCTACTTCTCAAATAAGATGGGACCAAATATACTATAAATTCTGATACATTGATGGAAAATTTGTGGCAGGATACACTTTGATGAATTTCAATGTATACTTAGCACGGCATGGCTCTAAAGAGTCTGGTTTTGTTTTTGATTGACAGAGGAACATCATAAAACCGGCGTCAAAGAAAAACGCAAAAAGGCAGCTTCATTCCAAACCGTATCACAGCTTCACAAGGTAAGGACCCAGAGGAATCCAGATCAGTGAAGCAAAGCACAGATCTAAAGTGTGAAATGGAAATGGAAACATATAAATAACAAATAGGGCTATGCATCCAATGGTAATGAAGCCTCCCTTACTGTACACACAGTGATAATATTTCTTAAAGGGACACTACAGTCACCTGAACAACTTTAGCTTAATGAAGCAGTTTTGGTGTATAGAACATGCCCATGCAGTCTCACTGATCAATCCTCTGCCATTTAGCAGTTAAATCCCTTTGTTTATGAACCCTAATCACACCTCCCTGCATGTGACTTGCACAGCCTTCCATAAACACTTCCTGTAAAGAGAGCACTATTTAGGCCCTTCTTTATTGCAAGTTCTGTTTAATTAAGATTTTCTTATCCCCTGCTATGTTAATAGCTTGCTAGACCCTGCAAGAGAATCCTGTATGTGATTAAAGTTCAATTTATAGATTGAGATACAATTATTTAAGGTAAATTACATCTGTTTGAAAGTGAAACCAGTTTTTTTTTTCATGCAGACTCTGTCAATCATAGCCAGGGGAGGAGTGGCTAGGGCTGCATAAACAGAAACAACGTGATTTAACTCCTAAATGACAGTGAATTGAGCAATGAAATTGCAGGGCAATGATCTATACACTAAAACTGCTTTATTTAGCTAAAGTAATTTAGGTGACTGTAGTGTTCCTTTAATATTCCTCTATACGCAATGCTAACGGCATTAACTGCTACTGTTCGCACAGTGAAATAGCGATACCCTTTACTGTACACACTATGGTAATGATCCCTCACTGCATACACAATGATATTTAAGTTTGCCCTTACTGTGCTCACTGATAATTGAGTATCCACTTAGTGTATACACCAATTATGCTGTCTTTCTTTACTGTACACACTGATCTTGGTGCATGCCCTTATGCACACAAAATGATAAATGGTCCATCCAAAGTGATAGAATATCCTCCTTTTTCTGTTCAAACCATGCAAATGGGACCCATCCATACTGTACACACACAAATAATGCTCTCCCTTTAATGTACAAACAGTGATATACAGTTTATACAAAGTAATAATGGACATACCCTACTGGGTACACTTAGAAGTGTGAATATTATGTACATACAAATCTTTACTGTACCCTTAAATAATTATTTTAATCCTGCTGTTAACCTAGCAAGCCCACATTTTCTGAGCAGATATTGTTAGTATATTGATCACAACAACAGGCCTTAAATTAAATTGATAAAAACATAATTAAAGTTTACCTTTAAACAAATAGCTGGAGTTAAATGAAAGTTTTAATAGTTCAAATAGACCGAGAAAATCGGACTTTTGACTTAGAATGATTGAAACCATTGGTAAAAAAAAATCAGTGGTAAGCTTTGTATTTGGGAAATCGAAGAATATATCTAAGCGGTGAACAAAAGCTACAAAAATAAAAGTAATGAAGAAAAAAGAAAAAAACTTTACACTTATAGATAATGATAAACAAAAACAAAAATCTATGCAAGGTAGCTTATTTGATATGTACGATTCATTGCCAACTTGGTTAGAGGGATTCTAATCCCTACTGAACACACAGATTCCAAAGGCACCTTGTTCACACCAGTGGTAATTCCATAGCTCCATCATCTCAATACATTTTTGTACCAGTAAAAAGATGGACTACATAATCCTGCGTCCATCTAAAATATACTGGGTAGTAGCAAAGTTCTCCAGTATACCATAACCAGATTAGAATTCAGTTTGAAATGTAGAAAGTTCCATTAAAGCAACATTCTCATTGATTGGTAGATTAAAATATATAATATAAGAATTGACCACTTTATTAATGGTGCATCTTCTCTTTGAGAGTGAGGACGTTAAGACTTGCAGTGATGTTTAGTTAAATCTACTTTATGAACATCACTTTAAGTCTGTACTTCTTCACTTTCATCTCTACAAATCAAATGAAGGTGAGAAAGAGGATGAGAGATCGGTAAGAACTGTTTCAAAAAAGTATGTTTTTTTAAATCTTTTTTTGTAGTATATTTTAAATTTAGATGTTTTATGCATTGAAACCTTAAACACTAAATTTAAATTACATTTTTCTTCTTTTATAAGTGAATGTTTGTTAGTCTGAGCACCAAAGCCTGGTTAGCATACATTCTTCGGTATTGCTTTGTGTATATTTTTTGTGTTTATTTTTTGTAGCCCACCTTCTCCTGCTATCAGTCAGTCACAATATCTTCTTCTAATAGAAACTTGACAAAGACTCCGGCATGGAGTCAAAACGTTGTAATTTGGCTTTTTCCTAGAAAAAGCCTTCTTTATGCCTCAAATTGTGTGCCCCCAACCCTTCTTGCAATTATTCACAATATCTTGCTCTGTCCAAGATATTTTAGTTTTGACCATTATTGGTATTGTTAGACATGGTTAAGCTTAATGCTATCTTTAAGACTTTTAGACACCAACTGGAATCGAACTTGCAAGTTTTAATATACCTCCGATCAGAGCTGTGTGTTCAAATCAGTCCATACCAGTAGACTGCTAAACACTAATGCCAATCTAATGGTTCTCTATGAAAGCAATGGATTGGTCAGAATATTGGTATTATTGATATATAGTAGTGCACTGCTTAACCCTCTTGTATTAAAAGCTGATTAAAAATGTAAGCGTTACTTTACTTTCGATACATTCTAAACTATCTGTTTGTGTTTGTCATGTAGGAAAATCTGAATAAGCTGATGACCAACCTTCGGTCAACGCAGCCCCACTTTGTGCGGTGCATTATCCCTAATGAGAGCAAAACCCCAGGTAGGAAAAACACTACATCTGTTAAAATCCACTCTACCTGGTCTTGTATAAAACAGGGAAATTGGTGAAGGGCTGTAGGGTTTAACGCAGTGTCCTCTCTTCTTACTCTACAAAAGTGTCAATCTCAGCTTGAAAGAAAAGTCTCCAGTGTTAACCAAAATGTTGCACATGCTTTAAACCTGCCTTGGTCCTTACACCCAATTTTGTGCCATGTCTCTTACTGTTACTGGATTCACAGAAAAATGGTTTACTCTGGACCAGAGGCAATTGGGTGGTCCTGTATGTCAGTGCTCCTCAACCCTCTCCTCAAGGTACACCTAATAGTCCAGGATTGAGGGATTACTCGGGTGTGTCTAAGGTGTTTAGAAAAAAATCAAAAACAAACACCTTAGCGTCCAAAGTGATTTTTTTTTTGTTTGTTTCTTTTAAACACCTTAGACACACCAGGGTAATCCCTCAATCCTGGACTGTTAGATGTGCCTTGAGGAGAGGGTTGAGGAGCACTGACAGAATTTGTCTATTTCAAGAAGTATCTGTATTTTTATAAAATGTCTGAGTTGCACCTGTAATGGATCCCCTATACTCTGACTGAGTATCAAATCTCGAATGAAGCAGTGATTAAAGCTCTGAGCTACCCAAACATCAGCCTAGACTTGATGAAGGGTACAACAGGAATGTTTTATTATGGCCAGATGGCCTGCTTATATACACATCAAGAATACAGTCAAACACGCCCAGAACACTCCCACAACACACCCATGAATTTCTGAGTCAGAATGACTGTGCATACAAACATAAAATGTAAAAAATACATAAAAATACATATAAGACATAGAGGAACTCCCACAAATATTATATTGTTAGATAGCCATGATCTGAGCACCCAAGTTCTCCAAATAGCGCTCAGATCCATGCAGTGTAGGGGAAATGCCACCGTGTTAAAATTCTGACCAGACGCACACGTGGTCCTATACCCAAAACAGTTCCAGGATGTAGCGGAGGCCTGATATTTCACAGGTTAACTCCATTAAGATCCCAGTGAGGCTCAGGAACAAGTGATGAAAAATCCCATAAAGTAATAATTCCAGCAAGCAAGGTAATCCAAGAATATCCCCATACAGATCCCAATGACTGGACGACACACAGCATCAGGAGCAGAACTAACTTTTATTCCACACAACCTCCTTTTAAAGCATTCTCCCATGCAAGGGAGGGATTCACATTCATTAGTACAGTATCCAGTGGAGTAGCAGTTACCTCCCACACATCTCCTCCCCTCAGTATGACACTTAATCCTATCACACAGGTTATAGTTTTCCCCAAGTTCTGGATGTACCCTAAGATCAGCAGATACACCAATACTTTAGGTACCCCCTGGTAGCCCTGATATGGGTGACTAACATATCCAAAATTCACCCAGATCGGACCAGGGGTTCGGGAGTTAGGTGGAGGGTATAATTTGACCGACCGCACACGAGGTATCCGAAAAGGGTTCCATGTATTTTGGCCCTCCGGTCTGTCTCCGTTCGGGAGTCGAAATACATATAAAAAGCTGCCATCCACGAATAATATTACATTCGTATGACTCCCCTCATTCGGTATTTTAAACTTACCCATCGGGGAGCTGATTCGCCTTCCTGTTCGGGAGTTACGGAGCTCTGGAGGTGTCAGCGGTGTTCGGGTAATTGAGTGTCCGATTTGAGTTCCAGACACTCGACGACCAAACACCGCTGAGCCTTTCGTGCGTAAGATGGCCGCCACCACGTGTTCGCATGCCGAATGGCGGCCACCCAGACACATACATAAAACACCTTTTAGTCTGCGGTTAGCGAGAAGTGTGCAGCTTAACGAGGGACACCTTCACTCTGGGGTGGTCTATCGGTTCGGTAGTTTCCATTCGTATGGAATACGGATGGCAACTACTGAACAATCACATGAATCCTACTTTACAATTAACTACACAGCAGAAATAACACACGAATTGCAGTATTCTCATAGTCTTTAAGGACAGCCAAAGTACCATCCCCTACACAGGACATTTGGTGATTTTGCTTGTCAACTTTCGGGAGCTCCTGGGGCTGAAATACGGGGTGCTCCAGCGGGCTTGTAGGTAGCGTTTGTTCCCCTTAGCCTCAGACACCTTCCCTCCAAAAAGCACTCTGGCGGATTTCAAAGTGGTTCAAAACCCCGAACCAAGTTGTCCGGGAACCGCATGGTCATCTCATGCCTAAAACAGTTCCATAACATTCGCGGCTAAGTCCCGCTGAGGTGACCGGAACCCACGATGTCCTCATGCCGAAATTAGTTCCATATCGGCTAAGTACCGCTGGGACTATTCGTGGGTTTGGTTCATGCGAATGGCCACCAGAGAGCCAGCTTTCATTTCCATTCGCATAAAGGGAAAGTGCCGAACCAGGGCCACCCAGGGCAAGCAATAAACAGAAACAGAAAGTGCCGAACAGGGTCTTTGTATATGGCCCATAGTCGGTGGGCAGGAGGCTAACTTCCACACTCCTCCAGGAGTTCGTGGCAAACGTCCAGGGTAAAGAGCATTTGTCACAGCACCTGCTAATCTCAATCAGACTCAGATGCTCTTCCTCATTCACTTTGTACCTAGCACAAAACAGAGGTGGGTGCGTCTCATAGAGAGGTATGTGAAGCATTGCATATGTACCATGGCAATTACTGCGCATGCACCCTGCATAACAATGCTACTCTAATGGAGGCTTTGAATTGGCCAGGAGATATCTCAGTATTGATGGAGGGAGAGTAGCACTGTGAAGAGCAGAGTATCGCTGCTGGATTATAAATTAATCCTTATTTTAGAATCGGTGTGGACATGGACTATAAAAACCCCCATCGTTACAAACAAAGCTGTTTATTTGTGTTCTTGAAAGGGACACTATAGTGACGAAAACAAAAGTTTTTGTGTAAAGACCATGCATTTGAAGTTTCACTACTCAATTCTTTGCCGTTTAGGAGTTCAATCATGTTTGTTTCTGTTTATGCAGCCCTAGCCACACCTCCCCTGGTTGTGACTCACACAGCCTGCATGAAAAAAAAAATAGTTTATTTTTCAATCTGATGTTACTTAATGTAAAAGATTTTATCTCCTGCTCTGTAAATTGAACTTTAATTACATACAAGAAGCTCCTAAAGGGAGCAAGCTATTAGCAGAGCAGAAGATAAGGAATTCTAAATTAAACGGAATTTGCAATAAAGGAAATGTAAATATTAGATGACTCTTTACAGGAAGTGTTTAGGAAGGCCGTGTAAGTCATATGCAGGAAGGTGTGCCTAGGTTTGCATAAACAAAGAAATTTAACTCCTAAACGGCAGAGAATTGAGCAGTGAGATTGCAGTGGCATGATCTATACACCAAACCCGCTTCATGAAGCTAAATTTGTTTTAGTGACTATGGTGTCCCATTAATGTCCAGCAAGAAAGAATTTACAGAAACTGTTACACTGTTTGTTCTTAGTGTTTACAGCTCTTGAGTTGGTTTTACCCTTTTTGTTCAAGGGTCAATCTCTTGCTTACAATGGCACAATTTAATAAGCTTTACAAATCATTCAATATTGCTAGAAGAACGTTCTAATGAATTATCTACAAAAATTTCCTTGGACCTTAATGGTTTCTTCTGTAGATAAATCATTTGAAAAGTTTTTCTAACAGTATTGAACAGGCCCGGACTGGCCATCGGGCACACCGGGCAAATGCCCGGTGGGCCGCGGTGGCCGTGGGGCCGAGGCCGGCAGGGAGATCACAGGATCTCCCCTGCCGGTCTATGCAGGGCCAGCGCTACCCGAGCGCCGGCCCTGCAGTAGTCCACGGTGGCCGGTGGGGAGATCAGAGATTTCCCTCACTGGCCCACATGCAGAATACTGCGGCCGCTGGGGGAGAGAGGGAGGGAGCCAGCCTGCCAGCAGAGGAACCCCGACGGAGCTTTAACTTACAGCTCCGCCGGGTTCCTCGCGCGAGATTCGGAGCGTTGCCATGGCAACGCTCCGGGTCTCGCGAGAGTGAACTCTAGCCTCACAGGCTAGAGTTCACTCACCACTAGGACCACCAGGGATGGATGGCAGCCCCAGCAGCAGGACCCCCACCCTCACAGGCTAAAGGTAAGCAGGGAGGGGGGAAATAATCACCTAACTCACATCAGCCTCACAGACACCCCTAACACTCACAGCACCCTCACTCACACACACACACACACACACTGCACCCCTGACACTCACAGCACACACACACACACACACACACTGCACCCCTGACACTCACAGCACACACACACACACACACTGCACCCCTGACACTCACAGCAGACACACACTGCACCCCTAACACTTACAGCACCCTCACACACACACACACACACACTGCACCCCTGACACTCACAGCACACACACACTGCACCCCTAACACTTACAGCACCCTCACACACACACACACGCACTGCACCCCTGACAAGCACAGCACACACTCACTGCACCCCTGACACGCACAGCACACACTCACTGCACCCCTAACACGCACACACACACACACTGCACCCCTAACACACAGTCCTCACACGCACATAGCACCCTCACGCAAACACAGCACCCATCACTCACACACTACACACCTCACACACACTGCACCCCTCTCGCACACACACTACACCCCTTACACACACACACACAGCACCCTCACACACACTGCACAATATGCTTTCCTAGCATTTTTGTCTCCTGGTATCCCAACTATGGAGACACCAGAGACAAATTTCAAGCAAACACAGTGCAAGCATGTTATTGAATTTTTGCTTGCGCTTCTCTCAGCAGAGCTCTGCGCATGGTCTACCCTGGAAGAGCATTGAACCAACATGCTCACTTTGTGATGGGGCGTGCTTGTCATTGGTGATGACAAAACACACCCTATCTGGCCCCGCCCCCTTTGTAGTGGGCCGCTGTAATTAAAAAATGCCCGGGCCGAATTATCTTCCCAGTCCGGCCCTGGTATTGAATCATTTGGAAACTTTATTAAATGAAGGCCTATGTTTGTAATCAATGCGTATTTAACAGGGTTTTATGTGGAAAAATAGATGTATAGGGAGAACTTGTAATAAAAAAACCATTAAAAAAATCTGGCAGTTCAACCACAGGATTATATCAAGATTGCACTAACCTTGATAAGAATGAGTCTTGTATGCTACGGTTATGGAAGGCAGAGACTATAATTTTGTTTACCACACTTTTTCAGGTGCTATAGATGCATTTATGGTCCTTCACCAACTAAGATGCAATGGTGTTCTAGAAGGGATTCGAATCTGTCGCAAAGGATATCCTAACAGGCTTCTATATGCAGAGTTTAAGCAACGGTGAGCCATTTGTCTCTTTTTTGATAGGTGTAGAAATAACTATTAAAACCTCTGATTAACATGTCACATGCTTTTATTTTAGGTATCGAATTCTCAATCCTAATTCAATCCCAGATGATAAATACGTTGATAGCAGAAAAGCCACGGAAAAACTGCTGGGTTCATTGGACATTGACCACACACAGTACAAATTTGGCCACACCAAAGTATGGACAGTCATTTCATGCTTTTGGTGTATTCAGTTACTTGTTTCCAGGTTTTATTGGCTCTGGCTAATTAACAGTTTGAAATGTAACATGATGTTTCTCCTTCAGGTCTTCTTCAAGGCTGGGTTGCTGGGGCAGCTGGAAGAAATGCGGGATGAACGCTTGGCCAAGATCATCACTATGCTGCAGGCAAGAAGTCGAGGGAGACTGATGAGAATTGAGTACCAAAAAATCATAGCAAGAAGGTAAGTGCTTATTTCCTGTTTCCATAACTGCTCATAACGTGTTCACTTCCTTTTGTAAAGAATACGCTTCAGTGTTCGGCGATATTACCAAAGCTTCTCTGTCAGTATTTGTTAAGATGTCTATTACTAGTTATTAATACATTGCTGCCCTGCTGATGTAGGGATGCATTGTTGGTGATCCAGTGGAATATTCGTGCTTTCAACGCTGTCAAGAATTGGTCTTGGATGAAGCTTTTCTTCAAAATTAAACCATTGCTGAAGTCGGCACAGACTGAGAAGGAAATGGCCAATATGAAGGAAGAATTTGTGAAGTTGAAGGAGGCTTTGGAGAAGTCTGAAGCTAAGAGGAAGGAGCTGGAAGAGAAACAAGTCACCTTAGTGCAGGAGAAGAATGACCTTGGTCTGCAGCTTCAAGCTGTAAGTAATTTATCACGCACATTGAAATGTTCATATAATGCTGTTCTGGGTCTTCTGTTATGTCCATCTAAGAATGTATTGTGTACAGTATATGAGAAGATGCCTAAGTGGAATTCAACATAGCATTCTAGATTCTATTTAGATTGCAGGTAACTGTATTATATTCATTCTACTTATATTTTGCACTACACACTCACTGGCGCACTCTGAAATCAAAAGGTATTAACAGGACCTGGTAAGGGAAGGAGTGTGCTTTTATCAAAGAAGTTGTAATATAACATATGAAAACAGAGATTAAGCATTCATCTAAACAAGCATACATTAAAAAGGTACTACTGTGACCAAAAGTTATATATAACGTTTTCAGGAAGTTTGATTTTTACATTGAAAACCTGGGCAGTTTTAGGAGTCAAATTGCCCAAAGCCTGGCTATGTCCTCTTTTCATCTATTCATTTCATCTGATGCTGATGATTCTGTTGAAGGGATGTGGAAGACTGGAATATAATAGTCTTTTTGACTGCAGGAACAAGATAATCTTGCTGATGCTGAGGAGCGTTGCGACCTACTGATCAAAACAAAAATCCAACTGGAAGCCAAACTAAAAGAGTTGGCGGAAAGAGTGGAGGATGAAGAGGAAATGAATTCTGACTTGACTTCGAAGAAACGCAAGTTGGAAGATGAGTGTGCTGAGCTAAAAAAGGATATTGATGACCTGGAGATTACTCTGGCCAAAGTTGAGAAGGAGAAGCATGCGACTGAAAACAAGGTCAGTTCTTTCTTTTTTTTTAAGTTTGCTGGCCTTTGTGAGATTGTCTGTTTCTTTAATTGGAACCCTCTACTATGCTTTGAAATATGAATCAAGGTTGAAGAGCTTTCTTTTTTTTGCCCAATAAATTGTATCTGTGTCATTCATGGTATGGACTTATTGCATTATTTAGGTGAAGAACCTTGTAGAGGAGATGGCAGCTCTGGATGAGATCATTGCTAGACTGACCAAAGAGAAGAAAGCCCTACAGGAAGCTCACCAGCAAGCTTTGGATGACTTGCAAGCAGAAGAAGACAAAGTCAATACGCTTACCAAGGCTAAAGCCAAGTTGGAGCAACAAGTGGACGATGTGAGTTAAATAGCTTTACTTAGTAAAAGGAGTTAGACTTTAGATGTTTGTAATGCTTTCTAATAATTTGCCCAGGGCCTTGGTGGTATGTAGTTACACACTTGTGAGGTGGAATTGGTAATACCCTAACCTGTCTTTCCATATTAGTAAAAGAAGAAAATATTCTATAGGCACTTTATCTTTAAATCAATAGTTTACAAGATTATTTTTTTTGTCTTTTTTAAGATCTAACAATATAAATGTTTCAATATGTAAATGAAGGCTCATTTTCATCAGAAGGAGAAAAAAAAATAGATATTTGGTATTGGTAAGACATTTTGTGTCAACTCCAACAAATTTCACACCTTGCCTACAGCTGGAAGGGTCCCTGGAACAGGAGAAGAAGCTACGGATGGATTTGGAGCGTTCAAAACGTAAGCTAGAAGGTGATCTAAAACTTACCCAGGAGTCGGTCATGGATCTAGAGAATGACAAGCAGCAACTGGAAGAGAAGCTGAAGAAGTAAGTACCACGATTATTTTTATTTTTTTGTGGATGGAAATGGTCTCCCCCAAGTAACTGTTAAGAAAATATTTTATGGATTTGCTTCTGATGGTCAATGTTTGCGAATAATAACCTAATAATATTATAGCACTGGTGGTTTTAATGTCTGTGGAATCTATGAATGTCTATTAGGGCAATGAAAATAATCTCAGCATTTCATATTGCGTTTTGAAACTTCTAACTACTTGAGGACTTTTTAATTACCATGCAAAATATTGTTTGTGAAAGAAGAGGGAATATATGATTTCGTATAGCTGTATTAAATAAAACAGTACTCTGAGATACATTCTATGAGTGCAAAGCCAACAGTGAATTTTACCGGGTTAAGAAGACATGGTCTAGATCCTTTACATCTTATAAATGAAAGATATATCAAGGTACATAAACCGTCCTGTATATGCCTATCTTAAGATGTCTGTATCAGGAGATAGATCTATGATTTGTGTAATGGTATTCATATGTTATTTATTTTTTTCCATAGGAAAGATTTTGAGATCAGCCAACTAAACTCTAGGATTGAGGACGAACAAATGATGTGTGCTCAACTGCAGAAGAAAATAAAGGAACTACAGGTAATTGTTTGCTTATTCGCAATAATAGTGTGTCGGATGTCTGGTTCAAACTTTATTAAACATATTAATTGTACTAAATAGGGAAAGCCATATTAAGTATGGCTTAGCAAGTAGGAGTGGAATTCAATTAAACCATGAGTACACGAACATCCTTTTGTGTAAAAAATAAAAACATCTTTCTTCTTGTTTCCATATGTCTGTTTTCTCCATAGGTTATCTTTATCCCTGTGTTTAAATAAATAATTGCAACTTTAGGCTTATTTACTTAAGAAAAAAAAACAACACAAATCCACCACTTACCCACCAGTATGCATTTTCATTCTACAAACTGTATGGCTTCTAAATATAATTAATTGATTCCCTCATCATATGCAGAACTCCCTTTGTTCAAGTGTCCATATTGTTTATCCATTGTACTCCTTAATTAGTCTTCACTTTTGGGTTCTTCTATATAGTTCCCTCTACCCTGAAAAGCACCCCTTTTCCCACTCAAACGCAATTTGTCCTTTCAATAATTTTTTTTCATATATTGTTATTTGGTTTCCTAAATTGTTTATTGTATTTTCATTAATTTGTTAAAGGTACTGTCATCTAGTGGGTGAGATTCCTTTTTTTATTCCATAGTCTTTTTATAAAATGTCTTGTCACTTTCTGACATTGCACATACAGTATGTGTATATTATTTTAATCAAAAACTAGAATTATCTTGGAAAGCAAAATGGACAAACTACGACCAGCACCCGATGATGAAATGCTTTTTTCTTATGATCCCCCATCTCTTTTAGAGTAGGAATGATAAGACTAAATGTAAAATGTTCCTGCATTGAATTCTCTCTAGACTAAGTGCCCCATCTCTGTTGCAGGCACGTATTGAAGAACTAGAAGAAGAGTTGGAGTCTGAAAAAGCTACGCGCGCTAAGGTAGAGAAGCAACGCTCTGAAGTAGCGAAGGAGCTAGAGGAGTTGAGTGAAAGGCTAGAAGAGGCTGGAGGCGCCACATCTGTGCAGATCGAGATGAACAAGAAGAGAGAGGCGGAATTCTTGAAGATGCGCAGAGACCTAGAAGAGGCAACCTTGCATCACGAGGCCACAGCTGCTGGGTTGCGCAAAAAGCATGCAGACACTGTGGCTGAGCTCGGGGAGCAGATAGATAGCTTGCAGAGGGTCAAGCAGAAGCTGGAAAAGGAGAAAAGTGAAATGAAGATGGAGCTCGATGACTTGTCTTCTAATATTGAGCAGCTTATGAAAAATAAGGTGAGCATTCAATATTCTAGACATTGTGATTGGATACAAGCCACTTTTTACATCTGTATGCTAAGTGTTTACAAGAAGAAACTGTCCAGTTTTAGAAAAATAACATGCATGGTCAGTATGTATAGAAGCTGTTATTGGAAGGCAAATCCAATACAGACCAGTCCTTTTTGATACATTTTATTAATAAAGTCAACAATTCCCTACAATCAAAGTTGATGGTCATGTTTGAATTTTTATGAAATACAGTTGCCATCACATTTCAAAGTTATACACATTTTACGGTGCAGGGCAATGCCGAAAAACTGTGTCGCACTTATGAAGATCAGCTGGGTGAGGCGAAGTGTAAGGTTGATGAGTTGCAGCGCCAATTAGCCGATGTCTCTCTGCACAGAGCCAGACTGCAGACTGAGAACGGTAGGTAGAGGCTTTCTTCATCCAACACCGAGCGGATAAGTTAATTAGATGAAAAGCAATTTCTGCTGTGAATACATTTGTTTTAATTTTACAATATGCAATATGTTATGTGCAAAGTGTATCTTGTAAGTATGAAGGAAATAATAGCTGCTTTTGATATTAGTGTTTCAAAATCTATTACTAAGGGAAATATAACAAAATCTGGCGCCGTGTAAAAGGAATATTCTAAAATGTATGACCTCTTCTTGAGTTTCCAAAATGCTGGCACACAGATTTTAAATCTATAGGTTCTCAAAGGTCTTCTCCAGACCCCAGCATTGTAGGTTTTGTAATTCTCTTCCATTTACTCATTGTGATCACGCGGACAGATCTACAATTTTTTTTTTTGGAAGAAAGATCTTAAAAATCTGCAATGTTGATAAAGATAGGAAGTTGGCGTTGGTATCATATGATTTCATATATTAGGGGCCATGACTCAGTTGCACATTACAGAATGCAAGTGATGACAACTACTGAAATGTGTATGTATCCTTTGGTTGACTAGGAGAATTATCCAGGCTCTTGGAAGAAAAGGAATCTCTTGTCAACCAGTTGAGTCGAGGCAAAGCGTCCTTCACCCAGACCATTGAAGAACTGAAGAGACAATTAGAAGAGGAAACCAAGGTAAAGAGCAAAACAAAATGGCATATCAAATGTTCTAGCCCATGTTTGCAATGCAGAATTTAATATTTACAGCCATTTTGGAGACATCACACAATATATTGATATGCAAGCCCTATTTTTTCTTTCAGTCAAAAAATGCACTAGCCCATGCACTACAGGCATCTCGCCATGACTGTGACTTGATGCGGGAGCAGTATGAAGAAGAACAGGAGGCCAAAGCTGAATTGCAGAGGTCTCTATCTAAAGCAAATGCCGAGGTGGCCCAGTGGAGAAACAAGTATGAAACAGATGCTATACAGCGAACAGAAGAACTGGAAGATGCCAAGTATGTTTATTATGCTAAAGGTTTCACAGTGTAATGGAGCCAGCTAATCTATTAGAGGTCATAATTTGATAATGAAATGTTGGTAATACTGTCCTACATGACAATAAAGAAATTGACCTGAATTGCGGTTTCTTCCTTGTTCAGGAAGAAACTTGCAGCACGTCTTCAGGACGCCGAGGAAGCAGTAGAAGCTGCCAATGCCAAGTGCTCCTCTCTGGAGAAGACCAAGCATCGTCTACAAACAGAGATTGAGGATTATGTTATTGACCTAGAAAGAGCCAACTCTGCTGCTGCTGCTTTGGACAAAAAACAAAGGAACTTTGACAGGATTCTCATCGAATGGAAGCAGAAGTACGAGGAGACCCAGGCTGAGCTGGAAGCCTCACAGAAGGAATCCCGTAGTCTTAGCACAGAACTCTTTAAGTTGAAAAACGCCTATGAGGAGTCTCTGGATAATTTGGAGACAATGAAACGGGAAAACAAAAACTTACAAGGTAATTTAAAATGAAAATAAGGTAAATAAAATATACATGCATTACAAAAAAAAAAAAATTAATCAAGTAGGCTTTCTTTATCAGGATCGTATAGGTCCATTATAGGCACAATAATGTAAAATATTTAATGTACCTAGTTAATATATTTAATGGTTTTCTTTTGTACTTTTAAATTACTAAATTGCACCTTACTCAATGAGTGGAAAACGGTTAATGTTACATTTCCGTCAGCCAGGTCATCGAAGCCAAATCATGCATCAGTTTATCATTTAATGAAACATCTTTTCACTTTAGAGGAAATTGCCGACCTCACAGATCAAATCAGTGCCAGCGGCAAAATGATCCATGAGCTAGAAAAGGTGAAGAAGGCTCTAGAGAGTGAAAAGAGTGAAATCCAGGCAGCTCTGGAGGAGGCCGAGGTGAGCAATACATAAACCTCTCAACTAGAAGACTTAACAGACTTTGATACATAGACACAAGGATAAGAACACAACAGATTGTAAGCTTGGAGCGAGGCCTTTCTACTTTACCTGTGTTTTTTTTTTTTCTCTGTCTGTCAAATGGAGCTTGTAATATTCTTTACTATATCAGGCATTTTATAAACTGACCACTATATATCGATATATCCATAACGGATGTATTCGGAAAAACAGGGGTTTATTTTCTAAACACCAATTCAGTGTTTAACGGAGAAACCCCACGGTAATACACAAGGCTAATGCTGCATCGACTAAGAGGATTTAATTCAGTAATTTACAGATATTCATTTAAAAGAATTTGGAGCACTGTCATGTTAAATTCATATATATATATTTTCTAAATAACTTAAAGGAATCTCATTAAACCTGAAAAGTCTTAGGAAGATGTTAGGGTTATTCTAACAATATCTCACCTATTTGTGAACAACACCCTTGATCCCCTTTATTGCATACATTAGGATGCACTTCATTATGCATTATGTATTTGCCAATATGTGCTTTATTTTTGGATGTGTTAGGGAGCCCTAGAACACGAGGAGAGCAAGACCTTGAGAATTCAGTTGGAGCTGTCACAGATAAAAGCTGATGTAGACAGAAAACTGGCTGAAAAAGATGAGGAGATTGAGAACCTGAGGTGAGACAATGGGTTCTCCCCGCCACATGTCTATAGATTCTGTAATTAAACACCATAAAATAAAGTAAATGCATTTATTTAAAAAAAATAAAAAATTTGAGAGTAACTACACGAAAGTGTATGTGCGCAATTGCACTATTCCATCTTGTATCTGCACAAACTATCTGCTCGTCCAATATCCGTACCTGCAGAATATGTAATTATGTGCTTTATGTTTATATAATTTAGGCGCAACCACCAGAGGGCCATGGAGTCCATGCAGGCAAGTCTCGACGCGGAAGCCAAGGCCAGGAATGAAGCTATCCGGCTCAAGAAAAAAATGGAAGGAGATCTCAACGAAATGGAAATCCAACTCAACCACGCCAACCGGCAGGCTGCAGAATCCCAGAAAATGGTCCGTCACCTCCAATCTCAGATGAAGGTTGGTAATATTTAATGCTTTAGCCAAGTGAGCATACTGGGTGTAATAGTACATGTCTTTACAATACTTTTATCAATGTAATATGAGCATTTAGCAGCCAATACTGTTATAAAGTTTAACTGTATTGCCAAATCAATATATCTCATGCTTTGATAAGCAGTAATAGTTTAATAACATGTGATATGGGTCTGATCCTGTATTTTAGGATTTGCAGATTGAGTTAGATGATACCCTCCGACACAATGATGATCTCAAAGAACAGGCTGCAGCTCTTGAGAGACGTAATAACTTGCTCTTAGCCGAGGTAGAGGAACTACGGGCTGCACTGGAACAAGCAGAGAGGGGAAGGAAATTGGCAGAGCAGGAACTGCTGGAGGCAACAGAGAGAGTCAACCTCCTACATGCTCAGGTATACAGAATGAGATTACGAAAATCACAGAATAACATTAAGGTTCTGTGAATAACATTAAGGTTCTGTGATAGAATTAGTAATAAACTGTATGTTTTATGCCCTAGAACACTGGCCTTATTAACCAGAAAAAGAAACTAGATGCAGACATCTCTCAGCTGACCACAGAGGTAGAAGAAGCTGTCCAGGAATGTCGAAATGCAGAAGAAAAAGCCAAGAAAGCCATCACCGATGTATGGAGGATAGATTTTAACATCCAACCATGTGTGAAATATTTGAGCAAGATTTTGTTTTACAAACACAGTTACAACAAATTTAATTACACAGAAATCTATTCACTAAGCAGCAACGGGTGTTCAGTTGTCCAAATTCAGCTGTTTGAACCAAAACCCATTAGGCTATTTAAAAAAGGCAGATTCAGTTAGATCAGCTGTATTTGCAGTGCACCACCGCATGACTGCCATTCAGTTAGCTGTTAAAATCAATAAATCGCTGTACAAGTTCTGTAATTCATCTGTTTACAGTTTCAATTAATTGATTTACCTGAATCTGCAAAATTCTCTAATATCTAATAAACCAAATGATTCCATAATTCCTGGTTTAATGAATATCCACCTAAACATTTTACATGGTAAAAGGAATGGGTATATATACCAAATTGTAGATTGCTTCTAAGAACTTACTTGAAATGTGTTACTTTATTGAGAGAGCAGTTTACCAACATATCTACCATTACACCTTTGAAGTGGAGTGCTTTTCCATACTTCGGAACGATAATCATATGTCACGGTTGCAGGCTGCAATGATGGCAGAAGAGCTGAAGAAAGAACAAGACACCAGTGCACACCTTGAAAGAATGAAGAAGAACATGGAGCAGACCATCAAAGACCTGCAAATGCGTCTCGACGAGGCCGAGCAAATTGCACTTAAAGGGGGAAAGAAACAAATTCAGAAGCTTGAGGCCAAGGTGGGTTTAAGTTAAAAACAAACAAAAACACCAACAATTGTGTATCAAAGTCTTCTCCATCCCATATTTTCCAGATCCATAATTCAACACAAATATCAATGAACTTTAATTTTGTTCCCAATCTTTGGTAAATTGGACGCTTTAAATTAAAAATCATATAAGATATGGCCCTTTGGTGATTGCGTTTGGTCATTGTAGATCCAGGCAGCTTTCTATAATGGCCTATGTTTCTAGGTGAATCTGTCCTGTGAATTGTCTGCATGCCCATGTATAGATGGAGGTTCACAGCTCCATGACTGTTCTAGGGAAATCATTATATATTTCACGTTCTATCACGTTATCATTTTAATTGGCCAAAAAAAAGCAATTGCCAAATGAAATGATTAGTTCAATACGTTGTTTCGGCTTTAATGTTTTCACTTGCTTTTCAGCTCACAACAGCGTACCATTGAGCGTTCTATAAACAATGTAGATACATTCTTATCAGTCACTCAAATTGATAAAACATTTTAACAGATCTGTGGAATTTTTTATAGAAAGGAAAAAAAAGAAAATCCATGCAAACCAGTCTGTTCATCAAGTTTAAGGTTTTCTTTTTGGGTCATCTAAAAGACATCATACACAAGCGTTCTTAAAAAATGCTCTACAGATCTACCGGCAGGTTGCTGATCTGTTGAATCTTTTGTTTCCTTGCAATGTTAATTGAATTGATGCATTAACCTTTCATACTATATCTAATACATGAGCACGTTCATCATTGCAGGTCAGGGAGCTGGAAGGTGAACTTGAGATTGAGCAGAAGAAGAATGCAGAAACTCAAAAAGGAATCCGAAAGTATGAGAGAAGAATAAAGGAACTCACCTACCAGGTAACAAAATCATGGATTCTAGCTGGATGGAGGTTAGGGTGTATTCTTTTATTTATTTGGGCTAGCATTGAGAAAAGACTAAAGCCAGGTAAAAGTAACAGATAAAGAAAAGTAATTATCACTGCTTTAAGCACACTTGTCCTATTAGAGAAGGATTACAATGCCAGATGTGATCTGTTACAAATCTTGGGCCACATTTTCAAAATTGGTGTTTTACATAATAAACTTTCACCATGCTGAGGTTCCTATAGTACAATGGCACAAAAGGAGGTGGTGGTCAGAGGAGTCCAATGCGTTTTTGATTTTGGACCACAGATTGAAAGTAATTGAGAAGCACTGATACATGTAAAAAAATTTGCTTTGAATAGAGGTTACAAATTAAAGAGAAAGGTCCGTTTAAGCTTCAGAGCCTTGTTAATAGTCAGCAGGAATTAGCATCTGTATTTTTAGGTTTTATTTGAAATGTAATGCTCACACTCTTTGTAACTCAAGGGGCTGGCCAGATGTTTGCCTTTGATGAGTGTTTTCAATGATACTGACCACTCATCTTGGCAAAAAAAAACCATTTTTTAAAAATGGATAGTCTTGCTGAATTATAAAATCTTTATCCTCTAGACTGAAGAAGATCGGAAGAACCTGGCCCGCATGCAGGATCTGATTGACAAACTGCAGATGAAAGTCAAGAGTTACAAGAGGCAGTCTGAAGAGGCGGTGGGTAACTCTAGAACAATTATATGATTTGTACAAAAACAACATTACAGAGAAGCACATACTGAGAGGTTTGTTAAAACACCTCAACGAAGTTATGACCCGCCTACAAAGTAATTATTTAGGGAATGCAGACAAATAAAACACACAGACAAATGTATGTAAAATAAATATGTATATATTGGTTGTTAAATTAGGCGCTTACAGTTTTGTCATGCTGGTTAGTTGCCTCCGCTCACATGGCCAGATGAAAAGGAAAGCCACCCCCAAATGCCCAGGCAAATGTCTTGTTAGCCTGGCGGCTAACTAAAAATCTGGTCGGGCGGGTGGCGCTGGAGCACTGGGGGGTGGGGGCCTGAGTTTTGTCATGCCTAGGGCAGAGCAAAACCAGGATACACCACTGGGGTTGAGGTCAGGGCTCTGTGCTGACCAGTCAAGGTATTATACACCAAATTAACCCATAAAGCAAGGTCTGCATGGACTTTGCTTTATGGTCATGTTGGAATAGAAATTATCTTTATGGGTTAACGCCTCCTCTAGTGGCTTTTCCAATTGTGTTGATACCATCATATCTCACATTGCTGACATGTTTATTGTCGTTTGCAGGAGATGCAGGCCAGCTCCAACCTAGTGAAGTACAGGAAAGTTCAGCACGAGCTGGACGATGCAGAGGAACGAGCTGATGTAGCAGAAGCACAAGTCAATAAGCTGCGTGTACGAACCAGGGAGGCTGCAACTTCTAAGGTAAGCCAGCTTAGAATCTCTCCAGTTATGACAGCATTAGACAAGTCAGTTGCATTGAAGTATGAACCCTATATGATGCATGTTTGCCATTTTGTTAGGCTTTCAGGCTCTAATTAAACTTGGTTATGCCATTTCAAAATAAAGGGGGTGTGCATTCACTACAGCTTACATTTTTAGCATACAAACCTCCATTTTGTAGATTGTGACTATTTACTTTAAAGCGACACTACAGGCACTTTATCATATTGAAGTGTTGATCGTGCCTGGAGTCTGCTGTGCCATTCTATTCATTGTTAAACCATTTCTGGTTTTACACTAAACAAGGGTTCTCAGCCAGGCTCCTGTTTCTTCTCTGAATGGAGAGAAAATGCCAAGAATATTAAACAATTCAATAAAAGAATATCTAAAAATTTGCAGTCCGATTATTTTTATGAAGTCAAATGCAGGGAGGTGTGCCTAGAGCTGCATAAACAGTGTGATTTAACTCCTAAATGACAGAGAATTGAGCAGTGAGACTGCAAGGCAAATGATCTATACACCAAAACTGCTTCATTAAGCCTAGTTGTTTTGTTGACTATAGTGTCACTTTAAATATAACATGGCAAAAAATGAAAAACATCCTGTATGCAAGTTTTGTTTTTGTTTGTTTATAATCTGACAGCAAATTTTCTAGATATTCTTTTTGGCAAGAGGATTTTGCTAGAAGATCTGTATTGAGGAAATTTGTTAAATTTACATATTGCAATGTCATGTAAAAAAAAAAAAAAGAACATGTAGGTTTCATGCAGAGCAATAACATTATTAATGTCAGACTATTTTTCTTTTCTTTCCAGCATGAAGAATGACAACATTGGAATTCAGACAGTCTGTCATCCCCACCAGCAGCTGCAACAGCTGTCACCAGGCCTGATCCTACTTCTTTTTAGCCCTAAGCAAAACCCCTACCCCTTGAAAGCAAAATAAAAACGAGAGGCAAAAAAGCTCGCGTGTCTGTGTGTGGTGCATATACACTCTCCAATTCCGATTGTTAATGGGATTTGATTTAGAGAGAATGCTACAGAGAATATAAAAAGTAAATAAATGCAAAATGTTCAATTTAGGTATAAGGTACACTTATCTGCAAAAACATTACATTTCTTACACCAGAAAAAAAAAAAAAAGGTATATGCCCATTATAAACCTTTTCTACAGGCTGAAGGTTAGGAAAATAATAAGGCCTTACAAAAAAATTAACCAATCATAAGATGTTACAACAGGTACCCGTTTCTTCACCTTTTCTTGTGGAAGTGATCCTTCTGTATTAGTTCAACTTTGCATAAATAACACACCTCCAGCCCATATTAATCTTTCAAGAATGGATGGAAAAATGCAGACGTTCTCTTTTATACTAGCAAAGCCGCATCACATGGTCTGCGATTCAGTAGCGGGGAGAGCCCTAGGCGTTCTGAAAATACTCAAATGACCTGACACAAACCTGGGCTTGTTAGCATCTATAGACACACACGCTACGCAAAAAACCATAATCACAATATTAAAGGGTTGTGGTGTATTGCATTAAGGGGAGTGATTTTACACCTTGGTGTAATTTATTTGTGCTGTAGCTAGGTCTGAACCTTTGTATTTATTAAAAAAAACATTTCTTTAAAAGGAACATTACAAAGGGTCTATATCTTACAATGAACACTAAATACAACAAAATCATAACCATTGTACAGCGCCATGGAAACTGCTGGAGCTATATAAATAAAATAAAGATGAGAAAACATTTTTTTTTAAAATAAAAAACAAACAAAAATAAAACCTCCTTCCATTATTCCACCAAGAATCAAAACAAACCCTTTAATTTTTTTATTAAATATTCAGGTCCAAATATGTCCTACAAAAGATGGCATAACTAAGGGTTTGGAGATTAAATACTTGTACGCTCTTTGTCCTTAACAGGTGAAAACCTTCCCATCGCGACAGCATACACAGGGTATTCATCAAATTAGTAACTATTACCATTTGAAGACTCACAAACGTATGACATGCTTTCTAGACGATCATCTTACCGTAACAGTTCATTGAGTGCCATTATGTACTGTATTAGATTAATTCTGAAGTAGAGCAGAAAATGTATTGTGACCTCACAAAGCATGGCACTCAATCACGGTGACCTCAAAAGATACAACAAAATGAACATGTGCAGGTATAGGACAAGTAGAAATTAGTATCTACATGGTTGGTAGACTATAATCACCTTAAATTTTTTGTGGATAATTGTATTAATACTTAATTCAGATTTAATTTTAAATTCAAAATGCTGTAGTACAGAGCAAAAATAGTGAATTTAATAAGTATATGTCTATACACAGATAACATATGTCTAGAACGCTTTGTACAGTTGATCTAAAGGACATGTATTTTTAGAATTAAGCACTGTTAGAGGGAATTACGCCATGCCCCCCCAAAATCTACACTGTACCCCTTCTACTATATATCTATGAATAAATAAATCATCAAGCCATTAAATTAGAAGCATCTCTTTATTTACAAAAGGTTTTAATGAACGATATATATCTCTCAAACAAAATATTCCCAGGGCAACAAATGATTAATGCAAACATATAGACCAAAAAAAAAAAAAAAAATTGCTTTAAAATTCAGAATTATGATTGATTGTAGAATGTTAAGACAAAATAAACTTTTTTTTTTATTGTAACGCTTGCACAAAATCCTGCAAGGAAGAGAAAATATTAGATAGGTTTTAACATAATGAGGAAGCTTAAAAAATTATACCTACAACTGACAAATTGATTTTTACTCTGGGATTCAGGTATCTGGGCTTTGTGATGTCATTGCATGCCAAACTCAGTACTGCATTTGCTATGCTTTGTTATCAATGTGGTTTCAACCAATTTTTTTTATTTTTTTAATTATCGCTTTATACCAATAGTACTGAGATAAAATAAAATCATTGGCAAAGAAAAAAAATAAATTTATTCTTTATTGGTTTGCTAGCCATTTCTATGCATCTGTATGTAATGCTACGCGGACAAACCTTTCAATACGTACATGACATTCACTTTATTTTAAAAATAAATAAAAATCTGCATTAAAAGAGCCATGTTTTCATATGCACATAATAGGGAATTTTATTTGCTGGTTTAAAAAAAAAAACACTTGTTAAACACAGAGTGTTACAGTATTCGAGAACTTTTGTTTGTCCCTTTAAAGAAGGGATCAGTTTGACGTGTTCAAAACTAGTTTTCACCATGATTCCCTGCAATTCAAAAACCAAAGTTCACAAACAAACTCTCAGGTCCTTATTATTGTTTCCATGCACACTACCCCAAATATACCACAACTTTTAAGAACAGGATGGATCATGGAAAAGTAGATCTGTGTGAAAACTCAAACATTTAAGGATCACTATAGTTGTCAGGAAAACAAACTTGTTTTTGTGACAATATATAATCCTTAGGGGCCCCCTCCCTCAGGACCCCCTCTCCCACTTACCTTTATCCAGTGCTGGGCTCCCTCAGCGCTGGTGACCTTTCCTCGCCCTCCGACGTCAGCTCCCGACTGGGATTTAAAAAGCCCATAGGAAATGATTTCTCAATACTTTCCTATAGACGTTGTGCGTGGTCAGTGCGATTTTCGCATTGAGCGTCGCAGAAGCGCCTCTAGCGGCAGACAGGAAGACAGCCACTACAGGCTAGATTAACCCTGCAAGGTAAACATAGCAGTTTCACTGCAGGGTTAACACCTGGGGGACCTGGCACCCAGATGACATAATTGAGCTGACGTGGTCTGGGTGACTATAGTGGTCCTTTAACTTTCCAAAAGGAAGCACATTCAAACACAAGTTGATTTTATACATATTTCTGTATGTTATTTGCCATAATCTCACATAAATAATGTTAACTGGTATGTACATAGGATAACAACCACCGTAGAACTGTTTTTGTTGTGTATATTATCATAGCGAATCTTGGCAGCACATATATTTGTGACCTAAATTTGTCAGGATCCAATTTATTTTCCCTTTTCTCCATGGTGTCAGAAATGACTTTCACTAAACCGGTCAAGTATGCAGACTACTGCAGTTTAGAAGGTAGAACCAGATAGGGAGAGGACTGATGCAAAATTAGATTTACCAGACTGTCCCAATAAATAAGCCAGAGCTTCCTTGGACAACCAACCAAGTGTGGATAATGTGTTAAAACCAACAGCCAGTCTGAACTTTCAAAGTGATATAACACACACACAATCCACATAAAACCAAAATAAAAGCACAATGTGAAATAAACCCGCTATTTCACTTTAAACTGCCCCATAAAATGTGATTTAACGAAAGCCTTCGTTATCTTGGGGGTACAATTGAGAAAAAAAAGTTTTTTTGATATTTATATTAATAAGACAAATACCCTTTACTTTTGTTAAAAAAAAAAAAAAGGGGGATAAAAAATAATAATTTAAGTTAATTAGTGCAATGGGTCAACCATGAGATTCAATGAAATATACGTTTTAGGGTGTGAGGACACCACCGTTTTACTGTCACTTTTGTATTGAATGACCAACATACAGAAATGCAAGCCACTGCCTAATTTCCGATGGATATAAAAATGATATAGGCAATCTATAAAAGGTGGGCAGAAAGCTTGATTAAGGACTGGGAAACCTAGGTTTTTTTTAATCTTGGAGGTTGTCGATCAAAAAATTGTTTCAGTGCTAGAAGTTTGGAGTTTGCTTACTGATTCTGAAAAATATAAAGTGTAACATATTAAAAGCAGTAACAGAATTCCACCAAAGGATGTTACCCAATGTCCCTTTGGCAGAGAAATAAAAACAAAAAAAAAAACAAAAGTAATTGTCCAGAATGTAAAGGCATACTTTAAAAGAAATACAAACATATAGTTTAATTTAATTACAGTATCAACTCAATAAAAAGAGGCCACATTTTCTTTTTGTATAAGTACAGTAAAAGTATCAGGTTTTAGGTTTACATGACCAAGTCAAGAGGCTAAGAACCAGAGTGTTAAAACACAATGAAGCATCTTCTTTAAAGGAACTCTCCAAGCACCATAACTACTACAGCCTGCTATAGTGGTTATGGTACCAGGGGTGGCCTGGCACCTTCACAAATTAAGTAGTCAAACCGTTTAAGAATTGTATGACAACTTACCTTGGTTCCACCAAGTGATAGCAGCCCCCTACCCTGCTGCAGGAAGCTTCTGTCACTGAGTGAAGACTCATCATGCATTGGCTGAGAGTGAATTACCTTGAAGTAGCTCCTGGCAGCAGGTGAGACAGCAGTGAGTGCCTGGCGGACTTACTCCAACGCTACAGTGATTATGGTGCTTGGAGTGTTCCTTTAAATAACGCCAATCTGCAATTATTTATAAACTAAAAATGGTGGCATGTGACAGTTGCATGTAAATAATACATATGTTAGGACAGCTGTATATTTTGTTTTTGACTTTCTACAGATAAAATGTATTTTAAAAAATAAAGTTAAATTAACTAGCTTGTCCAGAAGAAAATGAGGGGTTAAAATTAACAATTTATTGTTGTGTTCTGAATTTTTTTCTTTTTTAAAATCAGTTGACTGTTTCGTCCCTGAATGTATTGCACAGACTTCGTTTAAAAGGGGGTGCGTAGTGCCCAACGCCTGATGCTGGATGAAAGTCTAGTTTGTTGGCTGTGTGCATCCAGTATTCCAGCACAAGCAGAACACACGCTCTCCCCAAATCCCTGAATACCCGCTCTATATCCGTTTGAAGGATTTGTCCATACAGAGCTAGAAAATGTCCTTCGTGGGATTAGTCTTCCGGAAAATCTCTGTCCACATCCATATAAGCCTCATCGATGTAGCTTACTATGGCACAGGGAGATGTCCTGTCGGGATTTAAAAGTATGGATACAGTCTCTTTCCAGTAGCTGAAATTAATGCACGAACTCTGAAAAGAATGTAAAAAATAAATAAAAAAACATTAATAACTGAAAGACAACAGAGTGCGTTTAAGTGTGTCTTGAATACATTTCTGTAACAAGTAGAATACTTTAAGTGGATCATCCCCCCCCCCCATGGTCTCAGGATTTTATTCTAGCATCCCAGTATAGGGAGGATGTCACTGACACAACAGAAAGTATATTGTCTGTATGTCTGCAAAGTGAAAATGTTACATAAATCAACAGAGCATACAAAAAGGTCATTCATTTATTATTAAATATGTGTTGATTCATTATAAAATGCCAATACAGTCAAGAAATGAAAATATGTAACTTTTATGACAAAGGTTATGAAGCCTGTCATGAGGGTGTTAAAGTGGGGGGGGGGGAATACTTATAATATGATACCACAAATGAATAATGGTTTTAACTCCTTCAGGTTAGTTTCAGTAAAAACAAAGCAAAGCCAAGGGTGCATTAATAGACATTGGCTTAAATGGCAATCTCTTGTATAAAATAAATATATGAGCAGATTTTTCATCGCACAGAACTGTGGCAAATGCTCACATATTTTGCTTATGTGCATGTCGGAAACCTAATGGCATTTCTCAGAATGCAGTTTCTGTTAAATGCCCACAGACTGTAAAAGTAATGTATGTGTGTGGGAATAATGCCAACATACTGCATGTACAATTACACAACACCTTTACTACTCCAGCGTGGTAAACCCCTCTGGTAAACTCGGCATTCACCCTTGTACTTGTCTGTTAGAATGCAGCCATTAAGTTTGACCAATCAAAGTTGTTGTAGATTTATAGTCCTGATAGGAAGAAGTAGGAACAGTGCAGGAGCAAAGATGAAGGTACATGATGCTGTATGGGACAATTTGGAAAAAAACTGCACTCACATTTTCTAAACAGGTACTGTCTTTGTCCTTGTTGAGGTAATGCTGCTGCCAGAAGCGAAGAAGGCTGTGAAAGTTGTTCAAGATGAACCCTGGATATTTCTCCACGCATTCCATGTTCCGAATGGTCTGCAGGAAGTATGGCAACCTGCCTTTCCTCCTTGCCAGCATCAGAATGACCAGAGTCGTGTTCAAACAGCTTACATTCTCCTAGGAAAGTGAAATACAAATCAAATAAGCAAGAGAAGTTGGAAACATTTATGGTGGCCGTTTAATTACACAGCAGGAGTCCAGGGTGGGGCAGCTTCGCTATGAATTTGATTGCAGAGAATGGTTTTGAGGGCCTCTGCTATGGTGAAGTCAGAAGGATATACATCATGAAAGTTGTAATAATATATAGGTATATACCTTTTGAACAACCCATCAAAAAGATCCGAAGTTGTCAAGGCATTTTATACTTTACTTTTAAAATGCATAATGGTTCAGTAGATAGAATACTAACTCAGGGCCCCCTATAGCACTCCGTTCTCACTTTTTTTTTTTTTTTATCTCTAAAAGGCTCCAGGAGAAAAAATAAACACCATTCATCGCAAGTCCTCTTACAGAGATCACAAAGGACCTCCACAAGATTAAGGAAACTCCCACTCCACACAAACAAAGAATGTTAGTTAAGATATATACTAGTTATCAGCTGTTGGGACCTCTTCCAAGCCAGTACTGCCATTTGCTTGTATCAGAAGAAAACGTCTGCCAAGACAGACGACAAACTAATCATAGTCTTCTTTCACCAAAACGAGGAAGCGATGCAGAGAGACTACACAGGAAAGCATTTAAAGTTCCTCACTCAAATCACAGCAAGCGGAGGCCCATAATTGTATATTCTTTGATAAAGCAGGAGATATGCAAGGACTAGTGTCCAGTATCCCAACAGCTGTTCTAGTTTTCTTTTGGGTAACCCAGCCCTTCACAGAAGTCTGGCACTTGAATGTGGCATACACCTCTTACCTGTGTTAAAGTCTGCACGTGTATTATGTTAATTAACCGGAAAAGGAAGGACATTCTGATAGACCCCTGAGTCATATAAGAGAGCAACCGACATTCAGACAGCACTTCTGCAACTGAGATTAAGAAGGATATGTTAGTTATGGGGCTCCAAATTTGCATTCACCCCCACTACCCATTTGCAAGTAAAAATTCAGCCCAGGAAAGTAGAAGTTCACCCTGTAGTGTGTGTCCCTCCAGGCATGTAATAGTAGCCAACTGTTCGGCCAGTCTACTAAGAAATGTTATTCCTTGTTATTTACTATGACTTACAATAAACCTCATTGTCAAATGCCTAAAAGCAACATTACCACAGGGCTGGACAAATTTGCTTGTAATCTGAGAGCCAGCTAAAATAAAAAAAAATAAAAAAAAAATAGGAGCCAGGTTTCTCAACGTCAAAAATTTAGACTTTTCAGACAGCTCACGCTGTTTAGTGAGCCCGGGTGATGTAATAACCTGGCTTCCAGCATCACTGGAGGGCGTGCAAGGGAGCAGAGCATAGTAGGGAGATGACCGCTTCCTCGCCACCATACTGAGTCAGCTCCCCATGAGCCGGCTGGTTGCCTGCCTGCTTCAGCTGTCATCTCGGGAGCTGAACGGACTCACAAATACCTAGGATTTGTCGGGCCCTGCATTAGCAGATGTTGATGTCTACTTACACAACGTCTATTCAACGTTGAGATTTGTGATAGCTCCAGTTTTAGTTGCTGTTCATGTATATGGTATATTCTGATAACCACACACACATTATTATGTATTAAAATGCCTAAAATCTTGTCTTAAAAAACACCTGCGGTTTCCAAGCGGAAAATCCAATTGTCATTGTTGCAAAGTATTTTCAAGTAGTAGCGGAATTTATTCATGTGGTTACAATCCACAGACAAAGACAGGCATTGAAGTACTATATATTTTCTTAACATATATTTTTTGCCAGTTTCATTTTTCACAAGCATCATTAAAAAGGACAAATGTAATAATTAGCAATGCAGTCTTTAGGTTAAGATTCAATGAGCCTCATGTCTCTGAATCCATTTAAACTGGCTTATAATAGGTCAAGAAATTCGCAAAACACTGTATGCAAATGACTTATTTTTTATGACAAACTCTGTCTGCAACAGCACATCTTGTAAGGGCATTTAAGATCATAAAACATTTTATAAGCACCCAAAGTAGTACATACTTCATCACTGCACCCATCCATTTATGAAGAGTATTCTCACCTTTAATTTCCTCCGATTGATTCTCAAATTTGTCTAAGGATAGAGCAATACATCTCACAAGCATGTTCGAGTCCACCAACGAGCTGTTGATCTGGTTCAAAAAAATCTGAAACTAACAGACAAAAAGGAAACCAAGAAACGTTACAACAGTTGCTTAAAAATGTTGATACTATTTAAAAGACTAGTAGAGGGAAAAACCCGATTGTTGATTTTTAAAAATTGTTCAGTATAAGATAATTAAGCAATGCAGTTTCATGGGAGACTAAGCACCAAGACTCACAAGTCTAGAGTCATAAACCACATATGACTCAGATGGTAAATGCTTGTGGACTATTCCAGGATGCCCAATCCTTTCTTTTCCTCTCAATTCAGCTGGAAACCAAGATTCTACAATTCTTTGAAGCAGTAATGGTCTTCCAGTGCTCCCGTATATGATACCATATACTTCTTTCTATAAGACTATATTTGCTATAGCAATATTGCACTATTTGTGTTTTATATTATTATTGTTGCAGATATCTTCTTAACGTGTATTCAAGAAGCTCCACCTTATGTATGTATGTTTTTCTATGTATCTTGTAGATGTGGTTTAGGGGATACCACTCAAGGTGTTTGAGCTTCACTGTTAAACTCCATATTGTGCACCTTTTTACTTTTAAGCACCAAGACTGTCATCTAGAGTTGATAAAAAAAAACCTCCACCCCCCAAACAAAACCTCCAACATATAAAGATAATCATTTCATATGCACACATACCCAGGGCTATTTGTTGCCATTTCCCAGTAATCTAATCTAGCCAGTTGCAAGAAGGCCCTCATTTACATAAAATTACTAAATAAATGTAATGCAGATTGCCTAGCAATGTAGGACCATTGGAAATTAGTACATCTAAAATTGGTTTGACCATGCTGTAACATCCCTGTACAGCCATCTCCATGATGCCCAGCTTATTTGATTAAAATAATTGTTTTCAGAAGCCCTTCAATAACATCCATTAAGGCATTTAACATGTCCATGAATGGACACTGTGACATCCTGACAAATCTGTGATGCTATTTTGGTCTTAAATTTGAAATCCACTTGTATAATTTTGGGTTACGTCTCCATCTCCAATCCTTGAGATTTTACTTAAGTTATTTTGCAATCTGTGTGTTTATATAGAAAGACAGACAGACACTTTCATTACAGCATTTTGCAAGATCCAAGACCTAAACCCAATTAGGATAACACTACATTGAAATTTCTAGACTACTTACCTTTTCATCATTATGGATGTATTTGTTAAATCTCTTAAAAGCGTCAATGTTGAATTTCATTAGTTCACCAAGAAGGTCAAAATAACTTTGAAGGACGTCGCGTGACTTACACTCACTATCCACAATGCAGTATAGGATGTGCTGCAACAACAAGAGAGAGGTCTTGAAGAATAATTCATCATCAAATCATCCCAGAGACTGAAAGAACATTAGGACATAATTTCTGTAAAAACACAACAAAACAAAACGCACACACCAGCCAACACTTCACTGGAGGAACTGTATGTTCATGTCAACCATAATATGCTCATCTGCAAAGCTTACCTCTAGAAGTCCTCTTTTGAGAAGAAACATCTGGTCAGCATAGGATGTAACTCCTCGAAGGAAGCTTTCAACAGCCCGTGCTTGCCAGAACCTATACAGACATCAACAGTCAAGATCTTCACCATATAATGCTTTCAAATGCATACAAGAGATATCTAAAGTTATTACTCCTTAATGTATAAAACCAGTGAACTAGTCTGTGAGCTTAAGGCATTCACTTCCAGTAAAAAGAAAATCACTCATACATTGTGATGGCAGGTAAGATTTTTACATTATATATATATAATATAGAGACACATATTTATTTTAGCAAAGTTAACAAATTTGCATCGGTACAATTGATCAACAAATAGCCCATCAACAATAGATATCAATGGGAAATTTATCTTTAGGCAAAAACACAATTGTATTTAAAAATAAATAAATACATTTCATGTTTTTCATGTTTCTCAGACAAATCTCTTGAATTGATATAAAAACCAGGATGCTGCCCTCACCTGAATGACGATTCTGCTGGCTCTTTCTTCATGACCTGCAGTAACCTTGTTAACAAGCCTTTCTTCCCATCGCAGACCAAGCTCCTGCAATTAATGGAGATCTTAAGCAAGTTAAATAGACACTGAAGAAAGGTTGAAACAGGGCTGTAAACTGATGCCACGTAGTACAACAATGTTGGCAACTAAATCTTCAAAACCGAAAAATAATAGCAGCAGTACACAAAGTCTCTATAAACAATTATGGCAATTACCATAACCAATTATTTGCCTCTGCAAACCCCCTCCTGCAATGCAAACACTGGGAATAGCCAGGAAAGTGGACTTTACAATGATACCAATTAGATAACAGCAGCAAAGGCTAATGAAATCAGGAAAAATAGCACAGAAATAACTTTTTAGCAAAAGCACAGTGTATAGATAAGATTGTAGACATGGTGTCTTCACAGGAGACTATGGTAGCGGCCACAATCTCTGCACTGTGATTGGTGCTTTGCTTGGAGGTCACATTACAGTGCCCAATGTTGGTGGGAGATCATAATGATATAATGCATTATTAGGGAGAGTTATGTGCTGTACAACGCAAAGACTATAAAATATAACATATCCAGCAGTCAGATTATATTTGTGCAGATCTAGGAAAACGCAGTAACCGTTGTGAGCATATAGTGTTACCTACCGGTCTGTGTTCAACACCGCTTCTACATCTGGGATATTGGCTTTAAGGGAAATCACACTCAGCTCATTCAGTTCCTGACTGTTTAGGAGGAGATATTTGTTTCTAAAAAATAAGAAAATTATTATATTAATAGAGGGTATCACTAATGCATACAGGAAAAATAAAATAAAAATGAATGAGTTCTATAAAATCCTAGTGTATGCCGAAATAATAGTCAACATGACCGACTGCCAGTACTACACCACAACCTACGAAAAGGGTTTGTGATATATGAAGTGCTTCCATTGAACACAATTATTCTATCAAGACTTACTGAGCTGTAATAATAAAATAAAACAAGGTTCCAGCTCTGTCATTTTATTAAAAAGTGTTTTTAGTGTAATAAGGAGCAATGTTTCCACCACAACTGTGGTCTTTGTCAAGATTAACAAAGGCCACAGTTAAAACATTGCTGATTTTTACACTTTGATAAACAAACACTGAGCTGAAAAGGATGTGCTGGAAAAAAAATAAAAAAAAATGTTTATTGTGTGTATATAGATCAATTTGGAGGGAGAAGCAGGTTATTGTGCACTCTGTGGGTCAGTGCTGCCCTCCCATAACACATTTTGATATGGCTGTGAAAGGTGAGGAGAGATCAGAGCAAGATCTGACCAGGACTGGAGGAAAATTACCACTTCACATTTAAAAAAAAAAAAAAAATACGAAATACATACATTATGATGAACCTTAAGAGACTTAATTGAGATGCGCTATGCATCATGGGAAAAGGGATTTTGCAGTAATGTAGTGAACAGGACAGAAGCCAGACTGTTCTCTTTTAAATATCTGACACAGCACAATGAAAAATTAAAAAATAAAAAGGGGGGTATTGTATGGTAAATATAATTTACAAGCCGTGCTGTACATTTTAATGTATAATCTGGAGAGGCATCCCAAAAACTGTAGGAGACCTTAAGCTACGTTTAATTAAATATTACGTACTGCCACCTAGGAAAGAATTAGAATTTTCTCTAAACATACTTTCAGAAAATTGTGACAAAGAAACCCCCAACCCCCACAAAAAAAACCACATTACTTACTCGTGGTGATCACTAAAGCTTTGAAGTAGTCTTAAAAACTGTATCTTCAATGAAATATCCTTTAATAGATAAAATTAAAATAATGATTTGCACCTGCATAGATTTTAACATCATTAAGTTTACTTTTAGAACGACCTATAGTTTGTGCTATCAGTCATTAAACAGAATTATTTTACATATAAAACCAATATACAAGTTATATTATACTTTTATTATAGGAGTATCAGCCTAAATAATTCAGGCTGGGTGACAACTTCGCGTTTAGAGGATGATCCCATAAGTAATTTTAAGCATTAGACATCACAGCAAACTGGTAGGAGAAGGATGTTCATTTTTAACATCCTGTTGCTAAATGACTATAATTAGGTCACCGCCTTAAGTCCACTTTGCTGGTAAGACATTCTAAATGACAGTACAGCTATTCTGTTTTAAACCGGCACTCTTAGTAACATAATCACTGCAGTTTGCTTTCCTACAGTAACTTTGCACAGCCTCCCAGGTTAATCTCAAATAGTTTAAGAAAAGTTCAATATATAATAATAACAACAACAACATACACACACACAGGGTCTTACTCGTGTCAAGCAACTGCCCCAACAATTATTCGGAATTAATACTTCTGTATCATCAATGTCAACTTGGATAAAACTGGTTCCGTTTACATCAAACAGCTCTTAAAATGTTTCATATTAAACTGGGGAATGGTGTTCATGGTCTCTACACAGTATATCCACTTAGACAAGCTATAATCGTTACTTTGCCACTTTAATTTTATTTCTTAAAAAAACAAAACATTAAAGAAAAAATGGTTTTGGCTACAGGTGGAAATGAATAAGACTGCATTTGGGCACAGCATGTGGTGAGTATATGACACATAGTACCAATCACATCACGAGTGTGATCAACAGTATGATGGCTTTATCCCAGCAACCTTGGAAGTAAGAAAAGTCCAAGCAGTGGAGCATGAAATATATCTCAAGTAAACAAACAGGCTACCGGTTAATGAACTATTTTGCAATTCAAATTATGATACGGTTCCATTTTCTACAGTGATATTAGCACTCGTGATGGTGAAAGAATTCAATGTGAATTCAAAGTGAATTTCAAATTTAAAATCAAAATAACCAAGCTGGAAAACAAATCAGTTTTGCTATGCTTTCAATTTGAGACGGACTTTGAATTCTCACTTTAGTTAATAGCCACGTAAAGCCTCCGCCACTCACCGGGCTGCAATCACAGTTCTGATTGTGTCCATGGAGAACTAGATTAGACGGTGAATGCTTCCTCCAGATTAGCTTGTCAAAGAGGTTATTCAGACCTGGGATCAATTTAAATTCAGCTATCATTTTGTGTACCTGTAATAAACAGGAAATGAAAGGCACAAAGTTATTGGTTTGAAGCTCTGTCAGATCAGCAGGAATTGAAGTATCCACTTGATAACGTAACGCCTGGCTCCCAAGTATACTACTGGGAAAATTTAAGAAAATCTTCCCCCAAACCCATGAATCTTAATTACATCTCTCCCTACCCCAATCTCATGAATATACTTTGCTCCCCCTCTCCCTCCTACGTCCCCACTGGTTTTCTGACTTCTCCATAATTGTGCCAACATGGATCTAAATCAGGAAATAAGTGAGTGTGTGCATGTGTAAATTCTATGATATAGATAACCAATGCACCCATATAATGTAAGAAGGAAGGCACATGGGCGGTCTGTGTTAAGGAGTGAGATTTATAATGGAGTGTGCACGTGAAACACATTAATCTGCCATTTTAATCATAGGCAAATTTTTTCATATACTACATTGTCAAAACGGTCTCACGGAGTGCTGTGTAGGATACGAGCAACCTGTCTGGGCTATGTAATATTTGTGTAAATAATCATCCCCTGTAATTTAGTCAAACCTAGCTGATGGAACTGATATTTTTACAGATTATGACTGCTAATTTTATAAGGAAAAGAAAGATAGTAGGATGTAAATATCAGAGCAAATAAGTAGAAGTGGGACATATAATTGGATGCAGCAATTAGGTTGTTTAACCCCTTAAGGACCAAACTTCTGGAATAAAAGGGAATCCTGACATGTCACACGTCATGTGTCCTTAAGGAGTTTTAAAAAAAAAAACTATAAAATTTTTTTAAAAAAATAAAGCTCAGGAATCATAATGTTATGAAGTGGCTTAAAGCTTTCAGAGTATAGTTCACAAAAGTAATTTTTTTTCAAATGACCTGATTTCTCTGCCGTCCCATTAGCAAAACGCACAGCACGTAGAGAACCTCCACTTTGTACATGATCTCATGCATAATCTTCATGGATTGAGGCAACTGGGTCCTGGAGGAAGCATTTGCAAGACTGTTTTCATCTGAAGATTCTAGGATAGGGATATAACATTACTACAAAGTTTTAGCAGACCATAAAATCAACTTATTTTTTAATGCGGAGAGGGGGGAGAGAGAGAGAGAGAGAGAAGAGAGAGAGAGAGAGAGAGAGAGAGAGAGGGAGAGAGAGAGAGAGAGAGAGAGAGAGGGGAGAGAGGATCTACTATTTTGGACTTAAAAATGTTAATCAGTTTCACCCTGTGATTGAAACAGCTTTTTACAGATGTCCAGCATCACTAGTGGTCTAAGCAGCGCTGAACGGGAGTTGTGACCAGGAATAAATACAATTCAATATGGGCATATGATACCGTGGCAAAAAAAATAATAAAGTAAAATGGATTTTAACCAATCAGAGTGAAGGAAAATGACAGGAAAGCAGAGATCACAAGCCTCATGGGACGCATTGCTCTGTAAAATCTGCACAACTAGCGACTCCAGTTATTACAGCAGAGGATTCGAGGCATGAAATTTATAGCACCATTCCAGAAACCACAAAGAAAACAAGGAAGACCGTGAGAGTTTCAAGGTTGGACTAGATGGACTTTTTCAACTAGTAGTGTTGTTTGTGGAATGATAATTCTGCTGAAATGTTACAAAATTAAAAATCAAAGATCACAAAAGGAACATGGCATTACCTGTACCACTCTGTTCTGTTTCTTCATGAGCCACGCGCATCAAAGCATCTAGAACCAATGCATTGTCTAGCCACGTGTACCACTCTTCAAGCTCTTGCAGGAAGCTAGTCGTGCCGGTGGATTCTGAAACTTTTCTTGTGGCCAGCTTGCACAACCGTTCAATAAATCCCGGGATATTTAACAGGGTAGCTGTGAGATGCAGAGTCAAGAAATCAGTATGTGGATAAGCATTCAGCAGAGGAAGATTATTTATTCACAAGCCACTGGTTTGGAAATATTTTGCGGCGAGTTGTCCAGGCAATAAAATAAAAGCAGACTTGCTTTTTTTTTTTTTATATTCACGTGCACCAATATGACCTAAATCAATTTACCATAACACCCAAACATGTTCTACAGTATTAAGCCAGGCCTCTCAGAAAAGGAGGTAATGGCAACTTTTTAAGGACTATTTACTCCTATGTTTTAGATCTCAAAGATCATGCAGTGTTTGTGCCACATGGAGAGTTACACACTCCATTGCCTGCCACATGTTAGGAAGGACTGGATGGATCGTGGAAGATGATAAAAGATTTGGTTAACCGTCTGTTGCAAAGTAACAAAAGACACATAAGTTCCATCATGTCAATGGTTAAATCTAGACATTACTGCCTCACCAGTGCATTCAGTTTGGGCCTGTAGAGTTTTCTTAATGGAAGCAAACAATAGTGCATAGTATATTAAGTACAGCTTCACAATGTTTACTTTTGTCATTTAGCAATATCATGTGATAGGGTGTCACATGTTTTTGGAATGTGATTGTCTAATCTATGAGACATTACGGTTTGGTGGAGGGTGTGGGGATTTTATTCATAACTAAGGCCTCTGTACTTAAATGTTACATGCTTGGTGCCGGTGTACACTAATAAAGCTTTCAATTTACCGCAACTCCAGTGTGAGACAGTCCAATATATTTTCTTTATCCTGCGTGAAGCCAGTGTGCTTTAGTAGACTCAACAAGTATACAAGTGACACAGAGCTGGACATACTGTCATGAAATGTCACTACTTGGACAGTTCGTGATGATACACTCCTGATGAAAGCTACAAGTGACAGCTCTCAGGAAATAGCAGCATGGCAGCAAAAGTTAAGAAGTATAAAGGCTGGGAGCATTGAGCTTGTACCAGAGTATACCTGCTAGACAGAAAGCAAGAAAACTTACTAAAGCGTACCTCAAGACCCAAGCGCTGGCCTTTAAAATCCCATGAACTTAAAACCTTGGGGGGAAAGAAGCAAAAATAAGATCCTCACCTTGATTTATTTCTGCTCTGGAGGGGTTTGGGATTTTCTTCTGCTGTGCATCTTTGGCTAGGAGAGTATACTTGTCATCATTTCCTGTGTCTAGTTCAGATATAGTGACCGAGAGGATTCTGCAGAAGTTTGCCAGTTGCTGCTGATCAAAACTGTACACCAAACTGTCAAGGTTGGGTATGTCCTCCAGCTGGATCATTTCCTGTAAGCAGAAGGAAGAACAGTTAATGGGTTTATTAAGCAGCTAGAAGATTAGAGATAAGCCTGTTTGCTAAACAAGGTAGTCGGAGTTATAATGCTGTCACTGAATGAAAGTAGTGTGCATTATAAGACAAGAAAAAGTTAAAAAATAAATAAAAAATAAATAAATAAATAAAAAAGACACAAGGATGAACGTTCTCTTCTAGACTACATTCATGCTGATGCCACATAGATGCCACAGTGTATTGTACAAAACACGTGATAGTGTGTGCAAGTAGTGTTATAACAAACACTACATATTTAGGAGTACACAAATGACTTCGTCAAAAACACACGTTTATAGATTTGATTTGTAGGAAAGACAAAAACAAGTCAATAGGTGAGCAGCTCAACAGTAATGTTACCAAATGTTATCATCATTTTAAAAGAACACTCAAAACACCCCTAAAAGAACTTCAACTTGATGACCTGCTTCAGGGGTTTTTCCTCACTTTACAAAGAGATAATTCCAAGAGAAACTCACTTTTATGAGTTTACATTTCTTTGAGATAGCTGTAATTCAGGGTCAGCAAACACCATCCCCTATGTGTGACATTTAGATGTACGATTGTAGAATATTAGGATAGAAAATGTTGTGGCATCCCCATTCCATCCAGTTTATTCTTCCTCTGACAATAACCGACTCTTATGTCTGTTTGTTAAAAATCGATTATAAAGAGTTGCATCCCTGGTTCCCTTCAACGATTCAGCGTTCCCAACTTGGTTTTGTGCCAGTGTTAAGGGAGTGTAGAATCCCAGGCAGATGGTATGTCGGGGATTTACCGTATTAAAACTAAAAATTACTTTTCTGAAGCAATTAGGCTCTCAATCTAGTGGTGGGTGTTGAACCCATGTGTGTTCCTTGCCTTGGCCTCTATGTCCTCCGACTGTGACCTCCTCAACCCATGCCCAAAACGATGGGGTCACTGGCGATTTCCATGTTCTCAAAATCATAGTTTTAGCTACCGTCAAGAGCCTCAGAATGACTGATCATTGGATATGTTTAAAAGTCACTAGGAAATGGTTGAGAAAATTATCCACCGGGGTCATCTGAGCAGAGTCCTTTGATGTTGATTGCCTCGATACGCTTTCCCAGAATGCCTGTACTACTCGACATGTCTCCCGTCTCCTGACCATATCTCCAGCAGATCTCGGAGATTTCTGGCAACTGAGCATGAAGCGGTTGTGGTGTGCAGTACCATTGGGTCAGTACCTTGAAGGAAGCTTCCTGCATATTTGCTGAGGGTGAGCATTTATATGTTGGTATTAGTCTCCATCGCCTTCCCCACTTGGCCATAAGGGGAGGCGGGAGGGAGTAGCGATTATATAGGAGCATATTGTATACTACTGATATGCACCTTGCGGCTTAAATTGTACTTTTAAATCCACCTAGCACCATTAAAATTAAAATCGATTGAAATATGTTCTTATATAAATTTATATACGTATGGCACTTTTTGCCAATTTTTGTTACAGAGGACCAATAGAATGAGCAATACTGTATACAATGATCTGTGGACAGATACACCCTTATAATAGTACCATGCACTTGTCCCACTTGAAGAATAAAACAATAGGAAACCTTTTTGACGCCTAGGATATCCTCAATGAGAGTTGCCGTTTGGAGAAAGGTCTTTTTGTTTGTCATCAACGTAAACAGGAAAAGCACAAAGTCATTTCGTTCGGCTAGCCGCTTAGTGACGCCTTCAGTCTGCAGAAATATTTCAAATAAAAAAATCCGCTGTAAAACATTATATAATCTTAACAAAGCCGAGAGTTAAACATTTATTTATTTTGTATGTACTGGCCTGCTTTGTAACTACTCTTCTGCAAACGTTCCTGCTTTTAAACACAGTTATCTTGCATGACCACCTAGAACCTGCATTGAGTCACTGGTGTAAATCTACTCGCATCAGACAGACAATCCGTACATGATTATGTTAAGAAAAAGTCACGAGAGGTTTTCAACCCAAGGCCAATAACTGGTCTGTTCCGTTAGATAATGGCCAAGGAATATAAAGCCATTGCATTGGACCAGGTGTAATCTCAGGTGCGTACACTAATCTTTCATGATGTTCCTAGAATACAAGACAATCGTGTACCCATACACATTTCTAACAGACGTCATTTCAGGAAAACCAGTATGGCGTTAAATTGGAGGGCGGTGGATGGTAAACCTTCACCTTCTTCACTACTCGAAAAAGTGGATGATTTCCTTCTCAAAGAATTGTGCAATATACCACTTAGTGGTACCTCTATTATTTTGCACATTCACTATACATGTGCACACCTTTTATTTGGGGACTATAAAAATAGTTTATGTCAATGTTTAAGTTGCTTTGTGACAAAATGCTGTAAAAAGAAGAAGAATCGGGTATGGAGGTAGCTAGTGCCTCAGCTAAGCTTATGTTCCCTTTGTTGCCTTTTAGATTTAGAGCTAAAACGTCACTGAAGTTGGAAAACATTTTTGTTTCTGTGTGGTCTAAAATAAATATAAGGTCTTACACATATGCATGTATTGTACAGGATACTCAGGCATTCCTTGATCAAATCGTCACTAACTGGAAGAGAGAAAATATCACATTAATATATAATAAAGGGGGAAAATGACTGTTGTGATAATGTATAGAGTCAAGGAAAAGACATGAAGACAGTAACTAGTTTGTTTAGCATTTAATCACTGGATTTGGTAATTGTGAAGAACTGGCAAAGAAACTGAAAACTTTAGGACAATAATTGACAAATACAGCGGCAGTTTTACCACCAGCTCCAGAGGCACACACAGGGGCTTTACGCAGTCTACTCTGATCATGTAGCAATGCTATCACTCAAGCAATTCTGAATTTTAATGAAATTCATACAGGTAACCGAACCAGCAGTGTTAATTTTAGTCATAGTCTTTTGACTAAAAAAAAGCCATTTTAATTTTAGTGATCTGAATTGTTTTAGTTTTACTCTGGTTTTAGTCGACTAAATCTCCAGCAGATTTTAGTAGACACAAGTAAAACTTAGTTAAAGCCTCTGTCTTTTTTGCCTCTTCCCCAGCCCCTCTAGGTGCCTCTCTCCCAAGCCCTGGTCTGTCTCTTTTGCCCCTTCCACATGCCCTCTGTGCAGTGCTAATTTTGGAGGCAAATTTCAATTTAGTCATAGTCTTTGGACTAAAAACCCATTTTAGTTTTAGTTGACTAAATCTCAAAAATGTTAGTAGACTATAGTTACTCTACAAAATTAACACTGCTAATCAGGGCTTCCTCTATTGATTCAGCAAAAACAAAAAACAAAAACAAAAAAATAAACAAAGTGTTACTAACTTTGGAAACCACCATCACATAATCACATCAGGAAGATGTGCTCACTCACTTCCTGGTTCATGAAGGAAGTTCAGAGATGAGCATAGTTTTTTGATTAAAAATATGTAAAAACAAATGCTTTTATACTGCTTTTAAATAAAATTGGAAAGATTAACATCTTTATAAAATGTATATGCAGCAAATCAGATTTAACAAAAATTAACATTTAGGATAGTCATGTTGAAATGTTATCCAATAAGTTGAAATGCTGACTGAACAAAGAATAAAAAACCCACAATTACCAACACCACCATCTGAATGGATTTCCACTTACTTTTTTGTTTCTTTTTCTGTGGAAAAAGGCTCGGCCTCATTAGGATCTCCACCAGAAGCTAAGGAGAAAAATAAATAAATAAAGGGTTAAAGAAGTATATAAGCAATCTGTAATATCAGAATGTAAGCGTCAGGTTTGCAGAGTTCCATAGAATTTATGTGATTGCATTGAATGTTGATAAGGGGCAGTTTCTTGGTTGTGTACTTGCTACAGGGACAAATTTCTTGGTGAACACAGGACATTATCCAAACTAGTGGTTCTTAACTTTTTGTTTAGACCCAAATACCATTGTAGAATTAGCACAGTGATCCATTAATTATAAAATAATTCACCTACACCACTCATTTACTTATTACTGTACCCGGTCCTCCACCTCTTCCCCTATCACCTTATCCTTTCTTTCGTTGTCTATTATCTCTTTCATCTGAACTCTGGTTCACACCCTAAGACCACTACCTACAATGACACTTTCTAAATGATATTGATTAATATGATCTTAAAAAACAAACCAAAAAACAAACACAGACCTTCCTAAATATCGACCTTTTATTTATAGGATCACCTTCTTAAAACGTTCCTTGTTTTATAACGAGGACTCCACTGTACTGGCAGTAAACCATCCACTCTCAAACATGCACAAGATAAAGGAGGCAGTGTAGCATATGGCGCAAAACAGGTATTTACTTACATCCACTCCTCCAAACAAATCAAAGGTGTATGTGTTGGGAAATGGCAGCTCCGTGCTTGTTTTCTTGTCATCAGTCACAATTGCCATGGCTTCCATTGACAGTAGTGGAGAGATTTCCTGCTCAGAATAAAGATTCCATTACTGGGCTTCATGTTAATAGTTTAATTCACACAAGATAAACACTGTAATTCTGGCTAAAGTACAGTATCCAGATCTGACGACCAGACAAAAGACACAAAACGATAATGTAAAGGATCGAATGAGTGGCTCAGGGTGTTTACCTTTAAGATGCTGTGACAGTGGGCGAAGTCACTGTTGGGGTGACTATCACAGTAAAGTCTGCGTAGAAGGAAGGGGATGCTATTCCATTTTGCCTGCTTGTCCCTTTCCAAAAGAAACTCCTCTGCAATCTGCAACAAGAATAATGGTGAGAGTGTGAGTGAATCCAGGACAGTTTTGAGCTTTACCAGCCTGTTTACACTGAGCAATGGAGTAGAATAACACGGGCTGTTAAAGCTTACACAAACTGATTATTATGTATTCAAAAAGGTCATCTATCATACAATCCATCCCAACAAGAAGGCAAGCATTGAGCAAAGAGAAATTAAATCTTGTCGATCTATGCCCACCTGCAATTTGGAAAACTTACTAATACAAGATCTATATGTAACTTAAAAGGGGCACTATAGTCACCAGAACAACTACAGCTTAATGTAGTTGTTCTGGTGTCTATAGCCTGCCCTGCAGGCCTTTTGATGTAAACACTGCCATTTCTCTGAATGCAACTTACAAATTTTTTACATTACAGCCTAGGAACATCCACTTCTCAGATGGATACTAGAGGTGTTTCCTGGGTCAGTCCTGCATACTGTGCAGCACTGCAGTTCAGTGTCTCCATGCAGAGACTCAATACATCTCTATGAGGAGATGCTGATTGGCTAGGGAGGTGTGTGGCTCCATCTCGCCTCCTTACCTGAAATAAGCCAATCAATGCTTTCCTATGGCAAAGCATTGTGATTGGATGAGATGATCAATTCTGGTGATGTCATCCAAGGAGGCTGACTGAGAGCAGGGCCAGTGCCGTTGACCCACTTGGCGCTGGAAATAAAAGGTTTCTTATTAATTAAAGGGGGGTAGGGGGTAAGGGGAAAGCAGGGAAGGGACCCTACATGTGTTTTTAACACTATAGGGTCAGGTACACACGCTTGTCTTCCTGACCCTATAGTGTTCCTTTAAAGGGACAATATTGTCACCAGAACAACTACAGCTTATCTGGTGAGTAGAATCATTATCTTCAGGCTTTTTGCTGTAAACACAGTCTTTTCAGAGAAAATGCAGTGTTTACAATACAGCCTAGTGAGAACTTCACTGGCCACTTCTCAGATGGCTTTTAGAGATCCTTCCTGGGTCGTGGCTGTATAAAATGCATCCAAACATTCAGTATCTCCTCCCTCTGCATGCAGACACTGAACTTTCCTCAGAGATTAATTGATTCAATTCATCTCTATGAGGAGATGCTGATTGGCCAGGGCTGTGTTTGAATTGTGCTGGCTCTGCCCCTGATCTGACTCCTTGTCAGTCTCAGCCAATCCTATGGGGAAGCACTGTGATTGGATCAGGCCACCACTTCTGATGACGTCAGAGGAAGTTCACAGGCAGAGGCAGCCGCTTCAAACTTGAATACAAGTAAGATTTTACTATCTTTAGGGAGACAAGGGCGGCCAAATAGTGGTTTTAACACTCTAGAGTCAGGAATACATGTTTGTGTTTCTGACCCTATAGTGCTTCTTTAAGTGCAACAGTTCTACGTAGCATTACTTTGTGCCATTTAAAGTGAATTAAAGGCTCTGTCTAATCACCATAACAAATCTGCAGAGACATTACAGCAATTTCTAAACATTGATACAACTGTTAGCCAGCCTCCCTGGCTCTGATACAGCCAAGGAGAAATTTTACAACTTAAAAGGACACTACAGGAACTCAGACAGCCACCAGCGTTTGACTCTGTGAAACTATCCTGAATGTTTTCACGCTGTGAATAAGGACAACCGGCGTCGTCAAATTCTCCATTGGAAAGCATGTACTCAATGCTTTCCTATAAGGAAGGTCTAATGCTCTCGTCGTGCATGCGCATTAGGTACTCCCTCTGCGTTGATGTTGGGAGAGACGGTGCCAGCGCCAATGGCCCTTGGTGCTAGACTATGGTAAATTAGGTGAGTTCAGGTTAACACTTTATTTGATTGTAATGGTGGGGGTGAATGCAGAAGGACACTAATGTACTCCGAATACTACAGTGTTCCTTTAAGCATCTGTTTCCTTTACTTGTGTGTACAACTAAGGGATAAACTACTGATTCCATGAAGTTCTGCTGCTTTGGATTTATGGGACAAGATCAGAACACTTAAACCAGAATGAAAAGATCCTGATAGTTGAGCCTCTTTCTGGTGATGATGAAGTAGCCTGTCTTAGCTTTGCAGCTTCAGGGTCTTTGTGCATGTTTGTTTATTATTAGTTTATTTTTAGCCTTATTTTGAGTTAGCAGAAATGTAAAATCAGAAAGAAACGGTGTTCATTCTTCATCAATCCATTATCAGTATACAGGACTTTTTCTAGAACTGACACACAGGCAAGAGCAAGAGAACCCTGCTGCAAAAGGTTCTCATTCACAGCAGCTACAGTGCATGTTCTGTAGTTTGTGATTATTTTTATTCTGAGCACGAGACTACAAATATAGTGACTTTCACTTTAATCCTGTATGTTAGGCTAGCATGCTGACTTGTGCTTGTGAGGACATCACAAAAAAACAAACAAAAAAAAACAACCCGATAATTAGCACTCTAAACTCACCTATCGGAACTGAAATTTTCCAGTTATGTAAATAGGAATTTTAAATGCATCTGTTTTGCAGGGTTCGAAAATCATACAAATTGCACCATTTTATGTGTATCTTAACAGATACCCCCAGAGGCAGATGTAATCTATTGTGGATATGTATCTATTTCATGGAATCACTTTCCTAATTCTTGAAATGAATTGGTATGTTGCGAGGCGGAAGCATAGCTCCAGGCTCACTCCAGGCTGCCGGGAATAGAGAATCTCTGCTAAAATCTGAGTAAAACGTTTAGTAGTAATGCGGGAACCGGTGCCCACAGACTTCAGGCACCATAATCATTTCAATGTTAAAGTTTTTATGGTGCCTACAGTGTTCCTTTAAGCATTCAGCTTGGATAGGCCCCTACATGGAAACCCATGCAGACCTGCTTCACTTGTGCCTAGGACATACATTAATGCAGGATGCACAGTGATTTTTCTTCCAGCAAAAAAACTGAACAAAACGGAAAAAAACAGTATTCGTGTTTAGGACTATGTACACAGTATTCATAAAGACTGAAACGAGAAATAGTTTCACTTGACCCAGAAATAATTTGCTCATTTTAAAATACATTGGAAACAAATCCAACCACTACCAGATACTTTGAGTGATTTTCCATGCAGCATGTACAAGAATACAATAAAGCATAAGATATACAGGGGTTATGAAAAGAATCAATGGCAATAGATCTTATACTATAGCCACCAGAACAACTACAGCTTATTGTATTTGTCCTGGCGAGTATAATCAGCCTACTACTTTTTGCAGTAAATACTTTTTTCAGAAAAACAGCAGTGTTTACATTACAGATTAGGGACACTTCCACTGGGGCAGTGCAGCACTGACATTCAGTGCCACTGAACTTTCCTCATAGAGATGCATGGATTCAATGATCCAATGCTTTCTTATGGGAAAGCATTGTAATTGGCTCAGATCAACACATCTGATGATATCAGCCAAGCAGGCAGATCAGGGGCAGAGCCAGCAGCAGACTGGAATAAGATTTCACTTTTCTTTTTTTAACACTATAGGGTCAGGAATACATGTTTCTGTTCCTAACCCTTTATTGTTCCTTTAAGTTACCTTTTATTTTACTATCTTTCATGAAGTGAAAAGTAAAAATAAATAAATAAATAAATAACACACAAGTGACAAGTCTGCTTTAGAGGTCATCATAGTTTAAACTACAGTACAAAGTGCAAGACAGACTAAAAGTTAAAATATAAAGTGAAACTTTCCTTCTCAAGGTAGTTTCACTCCTCGGCCTCAAAAAGCATGATAATGAGAAACAACACGGTCACGGGCAGAGAGCAGGAAGGGCTGTGCCTACAACCACAAGCATTTTACTTCACAGCATTGTGACATCATCCATTTATATTGTTCCCCTATTAAGAATAAAAATATTACTTATAAATTCAGCTGCACCAAACTAAATATCAGATGATTTCAGCAGAGAGTAATGCTTGGATATTATTGATTAATTTATATATAAATATAGACATATCACTAAGTCAATCTGCAGCAAAGCAGGCGTGATCACTAATGGCGGGACATTAGTGAAATAGGCTGACAGTAGGTTAAATGCGGTTTCTAAATAGCCCATTTTATTGTTAAACAATGATCCCATTTGGTCACACAATCTTGTGGTTCTTTATTAAACAATGAGTCATGATGAAGTGAAAACAGGAGATTTACAGAAAAGGATCCTGGTGGTTCACGATCATGTCATAAAACCGGGCTGTCAGTAATGTCACTTCAATTACAATTTTCATTGAGCAGATATATAATTTGCATTGTGAGTATATACACATAAAAGCACTATCACTTTAATTGTTTAGTTTTGATGCTGAATTTTTTTTTTTTTTATTGCATTTATCACAAATTTTGCAATTATATTCCTCTTACAAACAGATTATTTCAATATACTTCAGCTTATTTAGCACTGGCATTATTTAATGTCTCCCATGCTGAAATTACTGTAGGACAAACCGATATTAGGGTACTGTAAAGTAGAGGTGAGCTTAACACAATATGGCACAACTGAATACCCAAATTAGTTTTCTAGAAAAGGAGATTTTAAGTAGCCTTTATGAATTTAGAAATGAATTTTATGAGTGCGCTGTTCCTTAATCTGTATTATGTAAAAAACAGGGCTGCAACACAAAAAGTTTGTAAATTATTACCAATGAGAGGGAGGATAACAGAGAGCGATACAGGAGTCTGTCGTTAACACATGTGCTGTCCACCATCTCTGACTGGTTCGCGGACGTATAAAAAGAGCAGATATGTTTCCAAGATATGAAGGGGAGTCATGCCCCTTTAGACAGTAAACATGTCATTGTCAGATCCTGATTCCTGCTGGATTGGTTATAGAGGTTTCCCAACCAATATGTGCAACTGTAATCTCCAAATCACATAAAATTAATCTGGCAATATTTAGGAAAGGTTATTTTAGTAATGTAAGACTCGCAGGAAACAGTGAATTTCATAATGTACACAATTCCATTTTTCCAGTGTTTTCACATTTGTGAATATCCCTGCTAGCCTACCAAACAAGTATTTAGCAGCAGCAGGCTATGCATCACGGGATGAAAAATGATGTGAGCAAACCTTGTGAAGCCACTGCATTTATTTATCTCTCTATTACGAAGGTATTTAAAGGACCACTATAGTGCCAGGAAAACACTCATTTTCCTGGCACTATAGTGCCCTGAGGGTGACCTCAGGGTCCCCCTCCCGCCAGGCTGGATGGCAAGTAAAGGGGTTAAACTTACCTTTTTTCCAGCGCCGGATGGGGAGCTCTCCTCCTCTTCGGCTGAATGCGCATGCGTGGCAAGAGCTGCACACGCATTCAGTCTGTCTCATAGGAAAGCATTTACGATGCTTTCCTATGGACGCTTGCGTCTCCTCACTGTGATTTTCATGCAAGCAATTTTCATGCAAGCGCCTCTAGCGGCTGTCAATGAGACAGCCACTAGAGGATTTAGAGGCTGGATTAACCCATTTATAAACATAGCAGTTTCTCTGAAAACTGCTATGTTTATAAAAAAAAATTAAAAAAAAAAAAAAAAGGGTTAATCCTAGAGGGACCTGGCACCCAGACCACTTCATTAAGCTGAAGTGGTCCGGGTGCCTAGATTGGTCCTTTAAGTATATTTTTATTATAAAACCATCAAGCTATAGTTTATGATTAATGCTATCTCAACCTGCAATTCAACTTCCTGAATGCCACAGAAAACAACAGACAGACTCTCAACCAATCCGACTTGATTCAATTAGAACTGGAGACTGATCCTTTAAACTGGATACTGATATTAGTCGTGACCTCAAAACTACTCTGTGTGTTTTATTATTGCAATAAATAGGTTATTGTATCGGACTATCAATAGTTCAGACACACCCTAAATATCTCAGTCAGTTAAAATGACCACATGTTCATTTGCATAGAGGATGACATTACACTACACCCTCTTTGACACTGTTAAAATATGACTGACATAAAAGAACCCTTTCCTGATATTTTACAATGTCCATGGATAACACTGTGTAAGAAGTGTGCATTCTAAACAGACTGGGCTCTTCGTCAGTTTGCAAAAAAAAAACAAACAAACAAAAAACCATTCTTTGAAGATGAAGGTAGAAGGCAAAAATGATGAAAAAAACCCCCATAAATAAAGAGCGTTGAAATTACGTTTAGGAAAGGGTGAGTCACTTTTCCTTTCATCAATAAGGTTTCCAAAATAACTCTAAAAAGATTATTGTTAGTGTCCTGTAATAGCGACACTATGATAGGAGGGTTATTTAATATTTTGAACGAATGTAGAATTACAAGAATATCAATGGTGAATGTTAAAAACTTATTCTGGAGTTTTTCATACAGATATAAAAATGTTTTGAAAACTTCTTGCCCACTGCAACATGATCAAAAAAAATAAAAAAAATAACTCTCCCATCTGCTTTAGATATATAAGTAGACACAAGTTGGTTGCAAGGTGAACAAAATCTGTCCAAGCTTAACTACAAATGCTACATAGTGACTAGCTCTGTCCCATTCTATGTTCTACTCCATTATTCTGTGATTCATATAACCATGGAGATAATTGCTGAGGTTAACTGCATCTTTAAAATATTTAGTTTTATTATTGACAATTTTATATTTTAGAAAAAAAAAAAAAAGAAAGAAAAAGATCTAAACGTAAAAATATTTATAAGAGAAATTAAGTTAAAATAATAAATAAATGAAAGTCTACATACACACTTTTAGAAACACATGCCATCATGAAAGTAGCTGGATAATACACTATTTACACAATGTTATGTACTTTAAAAATAATTGTATGTACATTTTTGTATTCCAAACACTATAGTGCTCCTTTAAGAGAAAGTGGTGTTCCATACCATTTGATGAAATCCAAGGAAAGTGCTCTACAACAGTGGCTAACAGTTAAAGGAACACAAACATGTATTCCTAACACTATAGTGTTCCATTCCCTATTTCTCTGGGTCTCTCTTCCCCCTTTTGATAAAAGGGCAAAAAAAGAAGAAAAAAAAAAGAAAAAGAAAAAAAGACTTTTTTTACTTGCCTTAATTCAATTGCTGAGGCTTCCTCAGTGCTGGTAAGATCTCCTCCTCCTGTGACATCTGACCATGCGGATGGGGCATCGTTTCCCAATTGGTGTTCCGCAGCAATTTCCCCGTCGGGTGGCCCAAGCACTTAGGGCCACACGATGGGTATCGCTAAACATGGGTAAGATCAGGCGCTGCGGCTGTCTAAGGCTGCGACCGGACCCCCTGTTTTATGGGATGCTGGGAGGAAGTGACAGCACTTACTCCCAGGCAGAGAGGGAGCAGCGGGGAGTGCCAATTTGGCACACCATCCTCAGCTAGCAGCACTGAAGGAAGTCACCCTCATGAAGAAAAAAAGGTAAGTGAACAGCAAATATAAACATGTGTCAGTGTGTGTATCTATCAGTATGTGTATCTGTGCACGAGCGCGCGCACACACACATCTGTGTGTCAAGTCTGTTTATATCTGTGTTTGTATGTGCCAGTGTATCTGTGTCAAGGTGTGTGTATATGACTGTGTATGTGTTTCTGTTTGTTAATGTGTAAGTCTGTATATGTACAGACATCCCAGCAATTAAACACCAACACATCACACACATCTGCAAACACAAACATGACATAAAAAGAGACCCCTGAACTCTAACTCCAAAATTATATACAAACACTCAAACACCAATACTACACACCTTTGCACGCAAAAAAATACATACAAACACTTTCCTGTATTAAAATGCTAAAATGATATACAAACACTAACTCTACACACAGGAGCACACCTACTCCTAAGTACTACAATATGTTTACTATCTGTAGAAATTAGAGAGTATGTGTGTGTGTATGTATATACATACACACACACACATATATATAAAATAACAAAAATGCCAAAAAGATGACGTTATGCTCTGCTAATTGAAAGATTTATGCAATGGAACTGACTGCACATTAAAGCTTCCCCATAGGAAAGCACTGAACCAATGCTTTCCTATGGTGATTTTAAGAAGTTAGACATCCTCATGCAAAGCATGTCGAATTGGATGTTCAATGTTGTTTCACGGAATTAAATTCTGCTAGGAAGCGACTCTATTGGTTGTCTGGAAGACAGCCACTAAAGGTGGACTCAGCCCTGCAATGTAAACTCTCAGAAACTGGACAGTGCACCTTACCCAGACCACGTCAATAAGACGAAGTGGTCAGGGTGCTTATAGTTTGCATTTACCCATTATTAATCTTTCCTTTTAAAGTTAGTGGACTACCAAAGTGATGTTATGTGTTTCTTATGTCCAATAACGATAGAAAGGACATTATTGCAGGTCTACCTGAATGGGTCTTACAGTCAGTCTTTACCTGAACTTTAGGACCATTTAGTATTATATTCTAAAAAGGGAGAATCATTATCTTGCTCTGCAGATGAGGCAGTGCCCAATATACACCTGGACAGCATGGATTCAATATCCGGATACACACTATTCTGCATAATTTAATTAGCATAGAAGGCAAAGATTTTTATAGAACAGGGGGTGTTGTTGTGGACAGCATGGGTGTGCAAGAAAAAAAATATCTTTTCCAGCTACTAGCAGGTCTGAATGTCATGGTTAGCAAGACGGTGGCTGGATAATTGAAAAGAATCTACTGATTTACAGGACATGCTATAGTGTCCCCTACGCAGTTGCTCTGCCTTTCCAGCTGAGATGCTCTCGATGGGCAGCACTTGTTTGAGAATTAAATCTGACTTCGTTCTCACAGGTGTGGCACCTCTTCTGGCCATCAGGAAGACAGCCACTACAGGTGCTTAACCCTGCAATAGAAACATTGCAGTTTCTCTAAATGAAGTTGTTATGGTGTAATGGTGAAATGCTGGATGTGACAGCATCCCACCACCAACCCTCCCCAACAAGTCATCCCATCAGGAAGTCTGCTTGGGGACAGGTACATGAAGTGACTACTTACCTGCTGAGTGTGTCAGGTAAGTCCCTGCTTACTGACAGACCATGACAGACCCCCCCTCTAATAATATTGTAAAGCGCTACGGAGTCTGTTGGCACTATATAAATGGCAATAAATAATAATAATAATAATATTATAACCTTCTACATACTACAGGGCAACGCTTTTCCTGTGACTCCCATCAACATGAGGTTTGTGGGTGCTCTCTAGAAATGCTGGATGTGACAACACCCCCCTGCCCCCCCCCCAAGTCACCCCATCAGGAAGGTTGCTTGGGGACAGGTACATGATGTAACTACTTACCGGCTGAGTGTGTCAGGAAGGTCCCTGCTTACTGACAAACCATGACAGCCCCCCCCCTAATAATATTGTAAAGCGCTATGGAATCTGTTGGCGCTACATAAATGACAATAATAATAATAATGATGATGTAAAGTTAGGCTCTATATACACAGTCACAGTGTGTCATTGATAATATAACACTAATAATAATGATGATGTAAAGCTATGCTCTATGTACACAGTGTGTCACTGATGATATAACACTAATAATAATAATAATAATATGATGCAAAGCTGGGCACTATGTACACAGTGTGTCACTGATATAATAATAATAATAATAATAATAATAATATGTAAAGCTGGGCTCTATGTACACAGTGTGTCACTGATGATATAACACTAATAATAATAATAATAATAATAATATGATGCAAAGCTAGGCTCTATGTACACAGTGTGTCACTGATGATATAATAATAATAATAATAATAATAATAATATAAAGCTAGGCTCTATGTACACAGTGTGTCACTGATGATATAATAATAATAATAATAATAATAATAATATAAAGCTGGGCTCTATGTACACAGTGTGTCACTGATGATATAATAATAATAATAATAATAATAATAATAATAATATAAAGCTGGGCTCTATGTACACAGTGTGTCACTGATGATATAATAATAATAATAATAATAATAATAATATAAAGCTAGGCTCTATGTACACAGTGTGTCACTGATATAATAATAATAATAATAATAATAATAATAATATAAAGCTGGGCTCTATGTACACAGTGTGTCACTGATATAATAATAATAATAATAATAATAATAATAATAATATAAAGCTGGGCTCTATGTACACAGTGTGTCACTGATGATATAATAATAATAATATAAAGCTGGGCTCTATGTACACAGTGTGCCACTGATATAATAATAATAATAATATAAAGCTGGGCTCTATGTACACAGTGTGTCACTGATGATATAATAATAATAATAATATAAAGCTGGGCTCTATGTACACAGTGTGTCACTGATATAATAATAATAATATAAAGCTGGGCTCTATGTACACAGTGTGTCACTGATATAATAATAATAATATAAAGCTGGGCTCTATGTACACAGTGTGTCACTGATGATATAATAATAATAATAATAATAATATAAAGCTGGGCTCTATGTATACAGTGTGTCACTGATGATATAATAATAATAATAATATAAAGCTGGGCTCTATGTACACAGTGTGCCACTGATATAATAATAATAATAATATAAAGCTGGGCTCTATGTACACAGTGTGTCACTGATGATATAATAATAATAATAATATAAAGCTGGGCTCTATGTACACAGTGTGTCACTGATATAATAATAATAATATAAAGCTGGGCTCTATGTACACAGTGTGTCACTGATATAATAATAATAATATAAAGCTGGGCTCTATGTACACAGTGTGTCACTGATATAATAATAATAATAATAATATAAAGCTGGGCTCTATGTACACAGTGTGTCACTGATGATATAATAATAATAATAATATAAGCTGGGCTCTATGTACACAGTGTGTCACTGATGATATAATAATAATAATAATAAAGCTGGGCTCTATGTACACAGTGTGTCACTGATGATATAATAATAATAATATAAAGCTGGGCTCTATGTACACAGTGTGTCACTGATGATATAATAATAATAATATAAAGCTGGGCTCTATGTACACAGTGTGTCACTGATGATATAATAATAATAATATAAAGCTGGGCTCTATGTACACAGTGTGTCACTGATGATATTGCCCCCCCCTCTCCCCCGGTTTCCCCCCCGGGGCCTGCTATTATCTCTCCAGCACAGGCCTGCTGCCCTACCTGGGACCCTCGGGTGAGGCCGCTCCCGGTCAGCTGCCCCCGCCGAACCCGCGTCACCATGTTCTCCGGCCGGCGGCAACCGGACCCCAGCTTGGGAAACACAACCCCGGCGGCAGCGGCGGCCATGGTACCACCAAGCAACCGGGAAAAACAGCCAGGCAGACGGACTGACACCGAGTACAGCGCCACCAGACGGCCGCCTAGATTAACTCAACGTACAGAGCCCGCGGGGCAGGCCGGGAAATGCAGTCCCCGGAAGTGGCTGCACGGCAGGGCAAATAGGGAAATGGAAGGCGAGGGGGAGGGGGGGTTTGGGTTGGAGCAAGTTTGCAATGCATGACGGGAAAGTGAGGTCGCAGAGCCTGCGTTCTGTGCCTGCCGTCAAGCATCATGGGTAGAGGGTCAGTGGCAGAGCAGTGAGAGAGGAGGTGTGCTAGGATGCTGTGCTGATACCCATACCCATAATATTTATACAGCTAAATGCTTAAACAAGGGTTAGCCAATGGGTGTGACATTTAATATAATTTTTTTCCCTTTTATTATGAATTTTTATATTTAAAAAGCTAAATTTTAGGTAATTATTATTACTGTACATGCATTTCGTGCACACTGGCGTGTCAATATAAACCGGTTTCACCACAGCGGTGCGTATGGCTGTGCTTAAAGGACCACTCTAGGCACCCAGACCACTTCAGCTTAATGAAGTGGTCTGGGTGCCAGGTCCAGCTAGGATTATGTCCAGATAAACTGCTATGTTTATGTTAGGGTTAATCCATCCTCCAATTCCTCTAGTGGCTGTCTCATTGACCGCCGCTAGAGGCGCTTGCGTGATTCTCACTGTGAAAATCACAGTGAGAGCACGCAAGCATCCATAGGAAAGCATTGATAATGCTTTCCTATGCGACCGGCTGAATACGCACGCAGCTCTTGCCGCGTGTGCGCATTCAGCGGACGGGGAGGAACGGAGGCGGAGATCTCCCCGCCCAGCACTGGAGAAAGGTAAGTTTTAACCCTTTCCTCTCCCCAGAGCTGGGCGGGAGGGGGACCCTGAGGGTGGGGGCACCCTCAGGGCACTATAGTGCCAGGAAAAAGAGTATGCCTTCCTGGCACTATAGTGGTCCTTTAAGGAATAATTTAACACGCACGCCTACCAAATCTCAACAGGACAATGCCTATTTTGGGGTCCTGTCCAACGTTGCATTCCCTGTGGTCTGCAGAAAGCACAGCGAGAGCGCGCGGTTAGACATAGTCACTCTGTGCTAAGGACACGAGGGCCATGAGCAGAGTATTGCGACTGGCCCAACTGTAATTAGGGAAGCGAGCGTGATTGGCAGTCAACCTGGCTTGACTGGTTCAACTGATCCACCACCAACATCCCAATTTTTGGGAGCTAAAACTTGGTAGGTATGTAACATGCGCTTGTATGGTGTTACCGTGTAGATGCCTCAGCATGCATTAGCTTGTGCCTCATGGGGAAATTAAATAGCCTGCAACACAGAAGTACTGCCAAGGTGGGGTTTTTTTTTCCTTGTTGCTCATTTATTGGGGTGATGGAACAAAGAACTCTTCCATAAAAGTTACAGTTTTACTTTAAAGGACCCCCTGAAAGCACATCTCAATTAAATGAACAAAGATGAATTCCTACACAAACTTATTCCTCAGCTCTCCCTGCAGTGGTGTATTTTGAAATGGTGCTGCCCTAGGCATGGCAGATCTCTGGCACCCCCTAATTTAAATGTGCCCGCCCCTTCCTGTTAACTTACACACATTTTGACTGACAGACACACTCACGGACCAGCATACACACACATATACTCACTGATTTGACACATTCTGGCACACATACAATCATTTAGACACACACTGACAGACACGCACAATCACTCAGACACATTCACTGACACACACACATTTTCCCCCAACACTCACAATTATTATTTTTTAATTATAAATCCACCCAGCCTCCCTACTTTTGGGATAGATGGGTGGATTTTTCACCTGGGGTCAAGTGGGGCTGCTGGGCAGGAGGGTGGTGGGACATGCAGGTGGGTGCTCTAAGTTTTCAGCGAGGGAGCTGTGATCTCTCTACTCAGCTCCCACGCGCGCTGCAGAGTGATGCCGGGAGCCGGACTGACGTCATATTCCGGCTCCCGGCATCACTGCGGGTTGCGCAAGGGAGCTGAGCAGAGAGAGCTCAGGGAAAATGCTCGCTCACCCCCCGCCCGGAAATCAACTGCCCCAGGGGAGCCCAAAGGTGGCCAGCCGGCGAGCTCTTGGGCCCCCATAAAACGAGGCAAACGCATTTTTAGGTATTTTAATTAATTACAATTAGCGGGACCTGCCGGAAAGTATAGGGAATTTAATTTGCTAGCACTATATTTAACCCTATAACTTTCTAAGACACCATAAAACCTGTACATGGGGGGTACTGTTTTACTCGGGAGACTTCGCTGAACACAAATATTAGTGTTTCAAAACAGTAAAATGTATTACAACGATGATATCGCCAGTAAAAGTGACTTTTTTTTGCATTTTTCACACACAAACAGTACTTACACGGACGATATTATTGCTGTGATACATTTTACTGTTTTGAAACACAAATATTTGTGTTCTGCGAAGTCTCCCGAGTACAACAGTACCCCTCATGTACAGGTTTTATGGTGTTTTCAAAAGTTACATTGTCAAATATAAGGCTTGTTTCATTTTTTTCACATTAAACTTCGCCAGATTGGTTACGTTGCCTTTGAGACCCTATGGTAGCCCAAGAATGAAAATTACCCCTATGATGGCATACCATTTGCAATAGTAGACAACCCAAGGTATTGCAAATGGGGTATGTCCAGTCTATTTTAGTAGCCACTTAGTCACAAACACTGGCCAAAATTGGCGTTTTTTGAATTTTTCACACACAAACAAATACTAACGCTAACTTTGGCCAGTGTTTGTGACCAAATGGCTACTAAAAAAGACTGGACATACCCCATTTGCAATACCTTGGGTTGTCTACTATTGCAAATGGTATGCCATTATGGGTGTAAATTTAATTCCTGGGCTACTATACAGTCTATATATTATTCTCCAGTTCATAAAGCGGTTTATTTGCTGTTTTACAAAGATGTTTGTGCTACAAAAAGATGCTTGAGTTTCAAAGAAGACCAGTGGACTTTGGAGATGTGATTAGGATCTGCAAAGTCAGCTATTCTTTCTATTCAACTACACTGGCTTTAAATTTGAAATTCACTTTGAATTCTCACATTGGTAAAGAACACTAGAGGGACGGTGAAGGGGGGCATGTAGCTGCGGGGGATTGTGACGGTGTGTTTGTAAGCATTGGAATTCAGAACGAGTTTGAATGCATTTTTGTGAATTGAATGTATGAGCACCTGAGGGAAGTGTTTGTAAGAAGAAACCACAAGGGAAAAATATTTAGCAGAGAAGCATCGTATATATAATTTATATTATTTCCTGAACTTTTATTGCCTAGTTCTGCATGTAGATGGAACGTTACATGGGATGAGAGTCTGAAGAAGTGTTTCACTAATGATAACTGCGATAGGAAGTTTTGTAGCTAGTGAAGATATGGAAATCCATTCACAAACAGGACTATACAAGGATACGAGGTCATGCGTTTAGATTGTAAAAAAAATTTTGTAAGAACAATAAGGATGTGGAATTCTGTGCCTGAAGAAGTGGTTTTATCAGAGCCTGTACATTTGTTTAAGCAGCAACTAGATGCATATTTGAAAACACCATAATAGTCAATGATATAATTTTTCAATGTAGGGTAATAGCTTTTTAATCCAAGGATAAATCTGACTGCCATTCTGGGGGCAGGAAGGATTTTTTTCCCTAGTGGGTTGCAAAATTGGAAGTGCTTCAAACTGTTTTTTTTTTTTTTAAATGTTGCCTTCTTTTGGATCAACCGCAAAAACCAAATGTGAGGAAGACTAAACTTGATGGACACATGTCTCTTTTCAGCCTATGTAACCATGTAATGTATCAGTTTTTTGTTATGTGATCATGTAATCATATTTACTGCCATGGGGATAGAGCTTCGATTGCTCAAATGTCCCTGTTGATCAGTTTTGCTTTAACCCCTTAAGGACACATGACATGTGTGACATGTCATGATTCCCTTTTATTCCAGAAGTTTGGTCCTTAAGGGGTTAAGGGATACTTTAAGTGCTAGGAATACAAAGCTGTATTCCTGGCACTATAGCTTCCTCTGCCTCCTCCCTCTCTCGTGCCCTTCCACCAACGTTCTGCGACGAGCTGGCACTAATGCGCTTGCGTGGCAAACGCTGTACACGAGCATTTGACTTTCACAAGCGGGAAAATCTGACGCTGGATGTACTCATGCAGAGCGTGAGGACGTCCAGCGTCCATTACCTAACCAAAGGAGACAGCCACTGGAGGCAGACTTAGTGCTGCAATGTAAATATTGCGGTTTAACATTGCAGCAGTAAGTGCAATAGGGACACTGTAGCCAGACCATTTCAATGAGCTGAAGTGGTCTGGGTGCCTGTAGTGTCCCTTTAAGATCAATATGCAAGTTTTTGGACCTGTGGGCTTGGTCTGAATATGTGCCTTATTGAAGGTGGAGAAAAGATAATATTCTCTATGAGGAAGCATTGGATTGGCGAAGATCATCAGGATTGTGGGATGGCCGCAGAGAGAGTACTCTGGCCATGGAGAAAACTTAAGTAAAACAAACTCCTTACTTCACATTGTACTTTAAAAATGATCAGGATGTTCTACTCACTATTATGCATCCTATGTCTTCTCCATTGCCCTTTTCTGCATTATTGACATTCTGCATTTTGAGGACAGGCAGAACATAAAATATATTACGAAAAATCGAACGCTCTGCTCCTGGACTTATCGGCCACTGGGCTACAAAATAGTCCATCTATGGCCTATCCATACAATGGACGAGTCTTAAATACCTAGGGATCCACCTTACCCCTGAGCCCACATGCTTATTTCAGGCTAACTATACCCCACTACTACTGTACGCATAAAAATATGGATACTTGCGGAAAGAAACCTATTTGATGGGTGGGCAGTATACACTCAAAAAATTAATGTATTACAGATGCTTCTCGTTATGTTTCAAGCCCTCCAAGTGGGGGTTTATAAACGAGACAGATAGCATACAGACAATATAGATCAGTTGGATGGTCATAAAACTACTATATGGGGGGGGCGGGGCCGGACCGTGGAGCTGAAAGGAAGCCATCTCATGCAGCTCCGGTCCTAAGCCTGAATAAATACTGATTTTCTGCCCACAAACTG